ATGTCCCCCTTTTCATTTCTAATTTGTTAATTCTGTCACTTAGTTGGTTTGCATAAGGGTTTGTCTATCTTGTTGATTCTCTTAAAGAACTGACTCTTTGTTTCATTGATTCTTTATATTGCTCTGTTGCTTTTTTATTGATTTTAGCCCCCAGTTTAATTATTTCCTGCCAAGTACTCCTCTTGGGTGTGTTTGCTTCTTTTTGTTCTAGAGCTTTCAGGTGTGAGATCTCAGTGCTTTAATGCTGCTTTCCACTGTGTCCCATCAGTTTGGGTAGGTTGTGCATTCATTTTCATTGAATTCTAGGTAGTCTTTATTTCTTTTATTTTTGCCTTGACACAGTAGTTGTTCAGTGAGGAGTTGTTCAGTTTCCATGCATTTGTAGGCTTTCTGTTCTTTCTGTTAATAACCAGTTTTAATCCATGGTGGTCTGATAGGATACAGGAGGTTATTCCAATCTTCTTATATCTGTTGAAACTTGTTTTGTGACTGAGTATATGGTCAATTTTGGAGAATGTTCCATGAGGTACTGAAAAGAAGGTATATTCTTTTGTGTTTGGGTGAAATGTTTTATAGATGTCTGTCTTTGATGTTGAAGTGTGTTTCTTATAAGGCAGAGGAATGTATCATGTTTTCATATCCATTCTTTTAGCCTGTGTCTTTTTATAGGGAATTGAGTCCATTGATATAATTAATGACCAGTGATTAATTTCTGTTATATTGCTGTTGTTGTTGTTGTTGTTGTTGGTGGTGGTGGTGGTGGTAGTGGTGGTGCTCTCTCTCTCTCTCTCTCTCTCTCTCTCTCTCTCTCTCTCTCTCTTTCTCTCTGTGTTTGTGTGTGTGTAATATAGATGAAGCCATAGTATTGTGGTGTGTCTTTTCTTTGGATTTTGCTGGTGTGAAATTATTTATTGCCTATGTTTTCATGGGTGTAGTTAATCTCCTTGGGTTGCAGTTTTCTTTCTAGTACCTTCTGAAGGACTGGATTTGGAGATAGATATTGTTTAAATTTGACTTTGTCATGAAATACCTTGTTTTCTCCATCTCCAGTGATTGAAAGTTTTACTGAGAATAGTAGTCTGGACTGGCATCCAGGATCTCTTAGAGCCTGCAAAGTATCTATCTGTCCAGGCCCTCTGGCTTTTACAGTACCTGTTGAGAAGCCAGATGTAATTCTAATAGGTCTACTTTTATATATTACTTGGCCTTTTCCTTTGCAGCTTTTAATAATATTCTTTCCTTGTTTTATTTGTTTAGCATTTTGATTATTATGTGATGAAGGGATTTTCTTTTCTGGTGCAATATATTTGGTGTCCAATCTACTTGGTGTTCTACATGCTTCTTGTACTTTTATAGGCATTTTCTTCTATGATTTTATTAAATATATTTTCTGGGTTTTGGAGCTGGGATTCTTCTCCTTCTTCTAGTCCTATTATTCTTAGGTTTGGTCCTTTCATAGTGTCCCAAATTTCCTAGATGTTTTGTGTTAGTAATTTTTAAAAATTTAACATTTTCTTTCTTTTTCTTTTTTTGGTTGTCCTGGAACTTGCCCTGTAGGCCAGGCTGGCCTCAAACTCACAGAGATCTACCTGTCTCTGCCTCCTGAATGATGGAATTGAAGGCTGTGTACTGCCACCACTACCTGTCATAGGTTTAGCATTTTCTTTGACAAATGAGTCTATTTCTTCTATTGTATTCTTAAATGCCTGAGATTCTGCCTTTCATCTCTTGTAATCTGTTGGTGATGTTTGTGTCTGTAGTTCCTGTCTGTTTTCCTAATTTGTGTTTTCTTTGTTGCTTGTATTTCGATTTTCAAGTCTTGAACAGTTTCCTTCACCTGTTTGTTGTTTTCTTGGCATTCTTTAACAGATTATTGATTTCCTCCATTTTTTTGTTTGTCTTTTCCTCAATTTCTTTAAGGGACTTTTTCAATTCCTCTTTAAGGAGCTCTATCATCTTCATAAAGCTGGTTTTAAGATCATTTTCATGTGTTTCACATGCATTGAACTATTCAGGTCTTGCTGATGTAGGATGGCTAGTAGTGCCATCCTACACTCTGGTAGTGCCATATTGTCCCGGATGTTGTTGGTTGTGGTTTGTTTGTTTTGGGTTTTTTGAGACAGGGTTTCTCTGTGTAGTCCTGGCTGTCCTGGAACTCATTCTGTAGACCAGACTGACCTCGAACTCAGAGAGCCATCTGCTCCTGCCTCCCAAGTGCTGAGATTACAGGCACACACCACCACCGCCCAGCTTTTGTTTGTTTTGTTTTTGGTGTTTTGGGTGTTGATTTCTGAGTTTGTCTTCTTCTGATGGGTGTTTGGTTCCTTGGTTTCTGTTTCCTCTTTCATCTTCTGGTCTTTGTGACCTGGATTTCTGGAGGCTAGCATGACCTCCGATAAAGTAGGGAGTCTCTGTCCAAGCTGGGGGCTGGACTTTCAGTGGCTAGCTTGGCCTTAGGTGCCACAGGGAAGGTCTCTGTTCTTCTGACTGGTGTGCCCTGCACCTGAACAGTGGAAGTCTGCTGGCACTCTGGTAGGGGAGGGGTGGGTGGTAAGGTGGGGGAAGGGCCACGGGATGGCCCTTTGGAAACCAAATATAAGGAGTGGGACAGTTCGGCCAGCAGGTGGGGCCCTCGCCTTTCTTCTCACATTTGTTATTTTTAAGATAGGTTCTCATGTACCCCAGGCTAGCCTCCAACTCCTTACATCCATGATCTTCTAATCCTCCTGCCTCTACCTTCTCAGTGCTGGAATCATAGATTATAGACATCCACCATGGCCAGTTTATGCAGTGCTATTAAACCCAGAACTTAGTGCATGCTAGCCTAGCATTCTACCAACCAAGTCCAGCTACACTAATATCTCCTTCCCTTTACTCTCCATCCTTCCTAATGCTATTACTATCCTGTATTTTTTGTAGGTCTGTTTAGTTTGTATGTATGGGTGTCTTGCCTGCATAGATTTCGGTGCATCGTATGCATGCCTGGTGACTTTGGAGGTCAGAAGAGGGAGTCAGATCCCGTGGAACTGGAGTTACAGATGATCTTGAGCTTCCGTGCGGGTACCGGAAACCAAGCCTGGGTGTTCTACAAGAGCAGCTAGAGAGCTCTTACCCACTGAGCCATCTCTCCAGCTCCCGTGCTATCCTATGTTTTAAAATATCCCCATTCTCAGAAATGTGAAATGATGCAGTGTGGCAATAACATCCTTTTATAACCAGACGACCCGTAGTCCCTAAGGTTAAGATATCTTTATTCAGATAAACACCAGCCAAATGCAAGCCAAAGCGTGCCAGGGGCAGCAAGGTAGGCAGGCCAGGGAGAAAGGCTCCCATGTGCCTTGCAGCCCCATAAAAACCTATCAAGCGTCATCCTGACCTCACCTTGACCACGCCCTGACAGGCATGGTCAGGCACACCTGTAGCCAGCTTCAAGCAGGTGTGCCTTACTGTCCTCTACATCCTTTCCCCAGGGCTCGTGGCACTGAGCACATTCACACACACCTGTTAGCTATTTGCATATCTTCTGAGAAATGTCTCCTGGGGCCCACACCCATTTCACAATCCCAGCTGTTCTGGACTGTTTGAATTTTTCTTCTGTTTGGGGTATCAATCCTTTGTCTGGTGCATAGGTCACACATACCTTCTTCCACTGACCTCTTCATCCTGTTGCCTGTTTCCTCAACTATGTGGAGCTGTTGAATTTGGTGTCCTCCTGTTATGCTTTACTCTGTGTTTGGCCACTCATGACAAAGAACAATGACAAGAAATGTCTCTTCCAGTACATACAGTTCAGTCTATATTCTAGTCTTTACTCCATTTTGAGTAATGTTTTGCATTTGTGTATGTGGTGATGATGGTCAAGTTTACATATTGATAGCCAGTTTTCCCAGAACCATTTATTTAAAAATCTATCATTCATTGTATATGATTTGGGTACTTTTGTTAAAGACCAGCTATGAATTTATTTTTAGGCTCCCTGGTCTGTTGCATTGGTTTCTTTTTTAATGCTTTATTTAATATTCATACATACATATGATGTGTTTGGATCCAATCCAATCCATCCACATCCCCTCACCTCCAATTCCTCCTCTATTCCTGTCCATACTTTCCTACCAATTTCTTTTAATATTTATTTATTTTATATATGAGTGCTCTATTCACTTTATGCCAGAAGAGAGCATCAGATCCCACTATTGATGGCTGTGAGCCACCATGTAAGGGCTGGGAATTGAACTGATCGATGGAAGAGCAGTCAGTACTCTTAACTGCTGAACCATCTCTTCATCCCCTCCTACCAACTTCTTGTGTCCTCTCTCTCCCTCTCCTTCCCCGCCTCTATCTGGTTTAGTACCCACTGAGTCTATTCAGTGCTGTTTATAGGTGTAGCTAATCTACTGAACCAGGGGTCAGCTCTCAGGGGCAGCATCCCTGAAGAAAACTGACTTTCCCTCCCCCAGTTGCCACTGGCTGTCAATAGATCCTTAGCTAGGGGCAGGACTCTGTTATGATAAATCTCTCCACCAAAAGCTGCCTGAGCCCCACCGCCACGTGTGAGTTTAACGCCAGCCACCTGCCCGAGTTAGGCCCAAATGAATACACAGAAACTTGTATTAGGTTTAATGTTGCTTGGTCAATGACTAGGATTCTCATCTTTTAGTTCAGTCTTAACTATCATAAACCTATATATTTTATAAGACTTATCTTATCGGACGCCTTATTGGCGTCCCTCCCTGTCGGTGGATCACATTGTGCCACTGGAGCAGGAGCCGAGGTGAAAAAAGGGCCCTTCCTGTTTCTCCTTCGCTTAAATATGAGTCTCCTTGCTATGTCACTTCCTGCCTGGATCAGCACTTCTCTACTACACTTCCCAGAATCCTCTTTGACTCCTAGTCCTGCCTAACTTGCCATTTCATTGGCCAAACAGTATTTTATTTAACAATCAATAAGATAAACATACACAGAAGTACTTCCCATCAGGACTCCATGAGCCCCTCCCCCAATCCATGCTGAGATTTTGGCTGGCTTGATTTTGTGCCAAGCCTGTGCATGCAGTCCCAGCTGCTATGGTTCATGTTGGCAACTGTGCTGTCTTGTCGGGCAAATATCAATTCCCTCTGTTCTTACCGTCTTTCTGCCCCTCATCTGTGATGAGCTCTGAGCCTTGGAGTGGGGGCTGTGATAAAGATGTCCCATTTAGTGAACTCTATAGTCTCTTATTCTCTGCACAATGACTGGCTATTGGTTTCTGTATTAATCACCATCTACTAAATAATAAAAAGGGCCAACAGATGCAGTTATCCATGGGTATGAAGAGAAGAATTTCAGGGGCAGTTTATGACTATTTCCATTTAGCAGAAAAATAGCATCAGGTTATCCCCCTATGGTCTAGGACCTAGTCAGCTGTGAGGTTTTGGGCCCAGTTAACAATAGCAGGCATGAGTTCCATCTTATGGAGTGGGCTTTAAATCCAATCAGAAAGGGGTTGGCTATTCCCATAACATTCATGCAACTACTGCACCAGTAGTCCACAGGGTTCATAGCTGGGTAAACTAATGATGGGTTTTTTTTTTTCTTCCCTGGTAGTATATGTTACTTTAATTTCTGCTTGTTTTTTTTTTTTTTCTTTGTTGTCAGGACCATACTCTTTGGACAACTATATCTTTGTAGTAGACTTTGAGATAAGATAGTATGCATATTAGTTAAATTTCTCCAACCATGACAAAATACCATGACCAAAGCTTTTTATTGTAGTGGCATCCTGTTCTGCCAATAGACTTGAGGTAATGACTTGAGGGTGTGGCTTTGGTGTTTGACGTGACCCCTTATAAGGAAGAGGAGGGGCCCACTCAGGCTCTCTTGGTTTGTGGTTTGAGCATCTTGCATCGCAGACCCTGTGCCTCCAGGGGCATTAGACTGCTATGGTTATTTACCTTCAATGTGTGAGTGTTCCCCAAATAAATATCTGTCATTCTTTATTCGGGGCATTTGTGGACTTCCTTTAACCCGCCTTCATAATTCAGAAGGAAGTTTTTCAGTTCCAGGATCCTGAGGGGTAAAAGCCTCTCATGATGGGGAATAGTGGCAGAAGGTGAGTGGCGGCATGGCCCTGGAGCAGGATGCTGAGAGCTCGCATCCTCTACCACAACCAGAGAATGCAAACTGTGTAAGTGGGCAAGAACAGAAGTCCTCAAAGCCCTCCCCCAGTGACATACTTCCTCCAGTAAAGCCACACCCCATGCATCTTTCTATATAATGTCACCAAGTGGGAACAAGTGTTCAGATGCCCAAGACTATAGGGGACATTTCTCATTTAAACTATTACAGTGTGTTGTGCTGGCTTTGATCATTTTGCTTAAGAATGCTTGGGTTAGGACTGGGATATGGCTCATTTAGTAGAATGCACGCACAGAGCCCTGGGTTTCACATAAATATATGAAGATAAAACACTAATACACATTAAAAATTAAACAAATATTTTTTTTTTAAAAAAAGAACTCTTTCAGTATCACTTTGCTTAATCGTCATTCAACTCTACAAAGTAAAATTTTCTTCTCATGTTTCTTTGTTTGCAAGGCAGGGTTTCAGGCTAGGAGCTGAGGATGACTTTGAATTCCTAACCCTGTCACCATCACCAATCGTCCTGGGAGTACATGTGGGTCCCACCATACGGGTCAAAGTAGTTCTTATGATCTCCATTTTGCAGGCAGGGAGTCTTACTGCCCAAAGTCACACTCAATGAATCTGGCTCCAATATTGAAGCATTAAATGACTCTATCCACCATACAGGTGGTCAAATCCCTCAGCAACCCTGGGTGGAATCTTTGTCACCAATCCCATTTTCAGACAAGGAAGGCAAGCCTCAGAGAGAGGGGCATGGCTTCTCAGAGTCAGGCTGAAGCTGCATCCTGGCTGCCTCCCACGCTCCACACTGTGTAGACTGAACTATCCACCCCAGTGGCTCTATGTCTTCCCACCATCCCTGCCTTCTGGAAGTTTCTCTCCTTCCCCACTTCATATTGATTTTGAAATCCATCTGTCCCACTGCAGATCCCAGAATAATGAAAAACCCTCCTCCTTGCAAAGCGTCCTGGCCTTATCGAGAAGAGGGTATCCTCTGAATTCCAGACACAGGAAGCCTGTCTCAAGTCCCTACTGTGGCAATTCTCTTCCCACTCCCCAAGACAGACCCCAGTGGCCTTTTCTTTCTCTGTCCCCCATGTCCTTGCTAACCTGTGCTGTGTATGGTCACCTCCTGCTCGAACCATTCTCAGTCTGACCCTTGATTTTGCTTTGTTTGTTTTCTTTAAAAATTTAAAGAATTCCTCTTCTGCTGTATCAGGCCTGAACTGAGAGCTTTAAGTGCATCATTTCACACAGTCTAGATATTGTAACAGAGTAGGAAACTGTAACACAGAGAAGGGAAGTGGTTTTCCTAACATCACCCAGGATCTGGAGGACCAGAGACTGAGACCTGGAGTCCCAGATTTTCCTCCCACAATCTTCTTCCAGCAGTCATCACTGAGGGCAGAATTAACTTCAAGTGACATGAACAACTTCCTCATGCCTGGAAGTCATCAACAGGATGGGTAGAGGTACAAGAGATATAGATGACCACAGGGCATAAATACTCTTCTTGGGGAGGATAAGGAAAAGGCCATGGGGAAGCGGCCATGGAACATGGGCTGGTAACCTAAGTAGGCATGCAGGAAGAGGGCTGGAGGTACCGCTTCAAATGGGATCACAGGAAGGGCGGAAGGCACACCGTTGGTCAGAGGGAGCCAGATCCTGAGTGGCAGGTCAAATACCTGTGAGTATGGGACACCCAAACCTGCTCAGACAGATTCCTGTTCTCACACGTGGCTTAGTGACTCTGTGACCCCAGGGTATATGTGAGAAAAGTCAAGATTTCACCCTCTCAGGTGGTCCCTGTATCATTGTGTGGCAGAGGAACTCGGCAAGGAAGTGGAGCCTTCTACTTTGCACACTGAATCCCAGCTTTCTGAGATGAGTGTCCACAGCACAGGACTGCTAGACTGACAGCGGGAAAAAGAACGAAGGCAAAACAGAGTCCTGGAGTCGTCTGGTTTATTGACTGAGGTTTAGCACAGTGCCCAAGGTTAGGAGTCTGGATTATTCACTGAGGGTGAGCACAGTCCCCAAGGTTAGGAGTCTGGTTTATTGACTGAGGGTTAGCACAGTCCCCGAGGTTACGAGTCTGGTATATTGGCTGAGGGTTAACACAGCCCCCAGGTAAGACTTCCCAGGTAACCGTCTCCTCAGCTTACTCCCTGCCCTGGGAAGGGTAGGTTGAGATGCTGGGGGTGGGTCTTTGCCAGCCTCCCATCCCTGCTTCTAGAAGGTAGAAGGGACTTCCACGCAGGCTGAGAAGACAAGCAACGTCATCCTAACACCCAGTGCAGGCAGCATAGGCACAGATCTCACATGTGTTTGGGTCCTGAGCAATGGCCTCTGGTCAAGAGAGAAAGGAGCCTGGTGAGAGACAGCCACCCTTCCCTCATACCCCCTGGCTCTCTCCAACTAGTTTGGATATCTGTCACCAGCCACCAAGATTAAATCCCTGCAGGCCCATCTCCTCTGACCCTCTGGGCTTTCTGCCTCACATGAGGCCTATGAATTACTGAAGCCAGCCAATCGGTGCAGCTCCTGCCCAGAACAGAGATGGAGTTACTGTGGTCAGAAGATGCAGCACGGGTTCCTTTTAACACATGCTTCTGAATGAAGGCCCTTCTAAGAGGCTTCAGCAGTTATTACTTAGAATTAACCAATCAGAGCACATCTCCTCCTCAAGAACCACCAATCAGAGAACACCCCAGCCACACTAGCCAAGAGGCCACTCACCCAGCCTCTTCAGGATCTCCTCAGCATTGGGTTTCTTGCAGAGGGGCCTCAGTGCTTCTGGAAATGCAGGGTGGCTGCACAGCTGTGGCGGCACATGCACAAGAGGCCTGGGAGCAAACCTCTTGTGACTCACCAGCAGGGGCTCTGGTACCTCCTTGAGGTCCTTAAGCTGTTTCACTGACTCCAGGGGAAAGGAAAGGTCTCCATCCTGAAAGAGACAGCCAGAGCATGAGGCCAGGCTGCAGGAGGCCCCAGCCTGGGCAGCTTGCTTGAGACAATCTGTGGGGCAGCATGACGTCAGACCTCTGTGTCCCTGGGCTTTCAAGAGGCCCGGAATTCTACACACTACCATGTGGGGAGTAGGGAAGCAGCTGAGGACAGCCAGGAATGCAGTGGCTGACCTGCCAACAAGCTGGCCCAGGCCCTTCTCTTGTCAGGGGGCCTCCACCTCAAGAAGCAATAAAAGGATCCCAGATACCTCCCTGGGCAAGCAGGACCCCACTTGCTGAGACGCCGATAGATATGCCCAACCATCTAGGTCTCCATGAAGTGCAGTTAATGCCTGGGACAAAGCCTGGTGCTCCAGGCAAGTACAAAATGGGGGAACCAGCCATCTTCCTTCCCAGCCACCAGCTTCGGCTGTTTTGGAACCTTTGTGAAGCTCACATTTCTATTCTGTGAAATGCCACCAGCAACCCCTCCTCCCCAATGCTGCAACGGCGGGTTGCAGTGGGACATGGCAAGAGCCAGACTCCAGGCACTCCATCACTGTCTATCCCAGCTGTTATTTCTTGCTGTCTCTCTGTTATTTTTTTTTTCTCCTCCATGTTTGAAGGGGAAAATTGCGTGGCTAGTAGGACTTGGGGGTCCCAGAGGAAGCCCATCCCTCATTTCAGGATTCCAAGGATGGGCCAGAACAAGTTGGGATGGGGCCATACCTGCACAGTGACCCCCTCTATCAGGACAGCCAAGGCGCCCAGGAGGCACAGCAGAGAGAGCAAACAGGCATTCATGGCAGCAGTGTGCCGGGCAGAGAAGTGGCTCATGCTGAGTGTCGGGGGTAAACAGTGGGACTTTTAAAGAGGCCAGGGTTACTGAGTAACCCTGGGACCTTGTCAGCCTCATCTGCTGCCTGTTGAGCCCCATCAGATAAGACCAAGGGAGCCTGAGAGATAAGAGATCAACAGAGTCTCAGCCCCTCCCCAGGCACTACTTTGACCCACAGCTGGGCTGGGTCCTACATTTACTCTGGGCCAGGCCCTGCAGACCCAGCCCTGCCCTTGAAGAAAGAGGCCCAGAAAGGTGACTATGACGACAATGACAACAGAGACATGGCCATTTAACATGGGCGTGGGAGCATGAAGGAGGCATCTCCCACCAGGGACAGGAGATCAAACCAATACAGAGGCCTGAGAATGGGGTACTTTTGTCCACAGAGCCTGTGTTAGGAGCAAGAAGTGAGCTGGACCTAGAATGCTCAGGGGGATACGAAGAGTAAGCGTGCCCAGATAAAAGAGAACAGGGAGGTTGGGAACACAGGACCCAGACGCCAGGCTTGGTCTCTGAGATTCAACTCTGCCATCCTCAGGCATGCATTCAAATCCCACCACCTGCCAGTCATGGGCAGATGTTTCCCATCAGTTTCTCTATGGAGACCAATGTGAGCATCTCCCTGGTTGAAAGATACCCCATGCTAGGGAGTCTATGAGGACTCCAGTTCCTGAAACACAAGAAGCCCTTGATGAAGGGGCTGTTACCTAACCACCAGCAGCAGCTCCTGTCCCCACTGTCTCCTCTGATGGCGGCCTGCCTAGCACAGTTACAGCAGGTCCTCAGGTGGCATGACCCCTCTGTCCTGCCCTACCCCCCGCTATCAGTGGCTGAGACGGATCTATGTGGATCTGGGCCCCTCCAACCTGACCCCTGTTGGGATTGAGCATGCCTAATGCAGCGTGGCTCACGGCAGGACTAGGGTGTATGAGCCCCAGGGCCCCAGAGAAAGTTGTCCTGGGGCCTCCTTTTCTTCCTGCTGCTCCACTGCACTGACTGTACACCCGGATAGCCAGGGCAAGGGACAACATCCCTGGATGGGAGAGTCAGTACTGAAGGGCCTGGAGGGAGAGGAGCCAGGGAAGAAGGGACTAGAAAGTACCTAACCCAGGGGCAGGGGAGGAAACATTTGGTCCCGCCATGCTGTCCTAAGCTAGACCCGCACCCACCGTGGGGTCACGTGCAAATCCCTGCATGTACTGAGATGTGCCTTATATATTCATAGAAGCGTGTATGTGTACACTGAAGGAATATGTGCATGTACACTGAGATGTATATGAGTATGTATGTTGATTGTGTATTGAAGGATGTATGGAGGCACCCTGAAAGGGCTTTGTGCAAAAGCGTGTTTGTATGTGTACTGGAGTGTATGTTTGTGTGTGTACGCACTGAGTGTGCTGATGTGTGCCCATGTATGCCTGAGTGCACTGGGGTGTGTGTACATGCTTGATTATATGTGTGTGTCCCCCAAAGAGTATATGCGCCTACGTTAAGGATGGATGTGTGTGTGTGCTGAGGTGTCTGTGTGTACATGGGTATGTGTATATCTGCTAGGAGTGTGTGCATGTCCTGACGCGTGTCTGTTTAGACATGTGAGGAGGTGGGTGTGTTCTTCAGGGAGCAGTGGTGTCTGTGTGCCTGCAGACAAGTGCATGTGCACTTTCATGCACTCTCCATGCTGGCCTCTGCCGAGTGTTAGGTGGGGTTAAGGGCCTAGGAAGGGTGCGCATGAGCAGGGACATGCAGTTGCAGGGTACCAGGGAGCTGGTTTGGAGGTGAGGTCACTGATGCTGTGACTGGGAGGAATTGTGTGGTGGAGCAGAAGGAGCAGGGGACTGTTCCGAGGTGCACTGGGGGGGGGGTGCCGGACTAACATGAGGACCAGGCTGGGCTTTGGGGGTATTGAGGTGCACTGGGGGGGCTAACATGAGGACCAGGCTGGGCTTTGGGGGTATTGAGGTGCACTGGGGGGGGGGCTAACATGAGGACCAGGCTGGGCTTTGGGGGGTAGTGAGTGTTAGGGTTGGGTTTGGAAGTGGATGCTGGGGTAGGAAAGAGCTTGAGGTGGAGACTAATGACATGGAGGCCGCTGGGCTGGGTTCGGATTCCTTGTGGGGTTACAATTGAGAAGAGTTTGCGGTGAGGTTGGAGGTAGGGTGGGGCTGGGTTTATGATTTGGGTTCGGTCTGGGATGACGTGGGAGCATATAAGACTGTGCTGGGATTTGATTTGGCTTTAGGGTGGACTGGGCTAGAGGAACCCTTTCTGACTCAAGGTGGCTCTTGTCTTCCCTAAGGTGTGGCTGGGCTCTGGGGAGGGGAAGAGGCTTCCACTCCTGCTGCCTCTTCTGCCCAGTAGCTAGCTGTCCATCTGCCTGTCAGGATGAAGCAGTTCCACTGTGGGAAAGAGGACATAGATAATAGGTCCTGTCCCTTGAGTCTGGCCCTATCCAACCCCACTCCTTTCCATTCCCACTACTGCCCCTGGCCAACCTGGGGCCAGTTCAGTCCCCTGTTGTAGGGAGTATGACCTCATCAGCCTGCACTGAAGCTGCTACAAGTTGGACCTTAGTTGTACTCCTGGTACCTCAAGCTTGCACCATGAATCTGGAGGCTTGTCCTCAGCACCCTGTACGCCTTGCTTCTACACTTTGTGACTCTTGTTTGGGCTTCCCCTACTCCAAGGCCACCTCTCTGGCAAGCCAGCATACTTCCAGGGCCTTCCAAGCCATAGCACCTTCTGGACCTGGCTGCATCACCATCTAAGGACAACTAGCTGCTGCTCCAAACCTCAGAGGAAAGCCAGACTACCTGGCTGGCACTCAAGGTCATGATCTAGCCCCTGCTGAGTGCACCATTTAGCTAGGACCTCAAAGCTCTACACAGAAGTGGGAGAGACGACCAGAGCTCAAGGCTTCAAGCTAGGCTGCCCCTAGATTTGGTGCCAGCTTCATCTTTTAAAAGTCACATGACTAGAGTCTCAGCTTCTGTGCTGCAGATGGGTGAAAAAGTTTTGCTGCAGATTTCAGTATTTTCCAGTAACTTTCAGGGGCTCCTGAACCCTGGAATTACAACTACTTCTACCCCCTGAGCCAGCCTGCCAGAGGCCAACAGCATAAACTGTATGCCCAATGCTCAGACAAGGCCTGGAAGTCAGTGAATGCTACCATGTCTAGAGGGAATCCAGAGAGTGCCAGGGCTTGTTCCAAGCACTGATATCCACAGCATTGGATATTAACAACTGTGGCTAACAACTCTTGAGACTGGCTGTGTCAAGCCCCAGCCAGTCCTTTCCAGCTCTGGCTATAGACCAATCCTACTCCCAACACAACGGTCCCTTACCCCCACTGCTGGAAGTCGGGAGGGGGCCTGCTAGATGCTGGGGCATGCCAAGCTTCCCAAAGAGACTGATACTATTCCTTTTGGCCAGCAGATTTGGCTTAAAGGCTATACCTAGGTGACCTCACTGTGACTCCAGGTACCCATTAAGGTCAAGTCTACTAGAGATGTGGTCCTCCCAGGACTCCTGCCTGTGAGCCCGCAGGCCTAAACCAAACAAGGCCCAGAAAGCCTGAACACACCAAGTCCCATCTGTGTGACCTTGAGAGAGGTATGATCTGCATTTTCAACCTGCAAAGCTTGTAAATGGGTGTAGCACTCTCTGGTTGCCATGGGAACCTATAGGAAGCCTTAACTGCCTGAGAATTCCAATGGCTATGAGCCTCCTAACAGCTCTGGCAACAGGTGGAAATGAGTAATAACTGTATAATCCCATTTTAAGGGGTGGGGGTGGCAAACTGAAGCTCAGTGAGATTGAGAAACCCTGACTTCCCAAGGCCACGTACATACATGGCTGCTGGGTACAGCTGTATTTACTGTGCACTGCAGAAAGGCACAGGGCCAACAGCACACATGTAAACACAAGCTCTGGGCACCTTCAACCCAGGGGAAGGCACAGTTTTTAAGATTTACTGCCAGGTGGATTTGGTGACAACTGTGGTCATATAGCTATAAATTCCAGAACTGAATCCAATTTTCTCAAATGCCAAAGGAAAACCTGATCTTCCACTCAGTGCAATGCAGGACCTCCTGTACTGTTGCTGGCATCACATACTTCCCTTCAAGGAAAGGAAGAGAAGTGGCTCGCCGAGTCAGTAGTGCCCATGCTGCAGAAAAAATAGATGATCAGAGTTCCCAGTGTCACACAGGAAGTGGCAGCTGGTGGGGCTTGGAGGCCCTGGCCAGAGCCTAAGCCCAGTTTCCCCTCCCCCAGGCCCCAAGTTGGTGGGCGATTTCTCTTAATGCTTCAGGGGGCAGCTGGGGAGTGGTGTGGGTGTGTCTGCTTATTTGCCCAGCAGAGTCATCCCCCCTGTGGCTAGCCCGGATGAGAGATGGCCACTCGTTCACCATCTGCTCCCATTCACACACAGCAGCTGCCTCCTCCTCCCCATCCTGGAGGGTATCTCACTGAGACAACCTCCCATCCTGGAGGGCAGGAAGTAGAGACTCGGCTAGACTGCCCACCCTCAGGAGTGCCCTACACACACACACACACACACACACACACACACACACACACTCAGAGGAACCCAAGCTGAGACAGACTCCACTGGACTCCTTGTGGGACACATTAGGAGCCATGAGAGGTCAGCCTGGGGCTGTTTCCTGAGGCCAGGCTATCATATGCCTGTTGGTGGATGTGATACTTAAAGTGGCTGTGACCAATGGATGTAGACCTGGGGGTCCAGGGGAGGAGGGCTGGCCTGAACTGAAGCACAGCAGGGCTCAAACAGCACCAGGCTTGGGCACTTGCCTGGTGACAGTAAGAAACAGTTTAAGACCTTGGCAGAGCCACTATGTACAAAGCCACTTGGGCAGAGGGCCGAGGGTAGATGGTGAGCTGCAACTGGTAAGCAAGCATACAGGAAGGAAGGGAATATTCCAGTTCAGCAGGCATGGGCAAGGGGGGGTGGGAGGGCAGCTGTTTCTTGGCAACTTGGTCAGAGCAGAGGGAAGGGAGGAGGAAAGTTCCTCTGGATCTATGCGCAGTGTCCAGCTGCCATGTGTCTACCAGCTGGCTTCTCAACACCACTCTGAGGTAAGGAGTTTTGTTCCCATGTTAAAGAGGAAAGCGAGGCTCAGGGAAGGTAGTGTCTTGCTCACCAAGAACCCCAGAACCTGACTCCAAAGCTCCTTTTCTCCCCATTGCCTTAAGCACAAGTTGTACTGGGACCTGAGGTCCGCAGCAATCTAGACCACAGGACAATGACAAGGGGTCCACTTCTGCTAGGATGAGAAAGCCTGGGCAGGCACAGGCTCACATCTGCCATCTATCTCAAATCAACACTACCCGGAGAGCGACAACAGGGACAAGCCAGGCATGTGATGAGAAAAAAACATCTATGGGAGACCCGCAGGGCCCAAATCCAACAGCACCTGGCTAGGAAGCTCGATCCCAGGTGAGTGTTGCCCAGGATACGGGACAGAATTGATCCTAAGCAGAGACTGAGGAACCTCCCCACCCTTCTGACCTGTCCCTCAACCTCCAATCTGCTAAGCAACCCTAGGAAGTGCCAGAACCCACATAAATGCTGGGTGGGCTGGCAGCCTTGGAAGATGGAGATGGAATCCCCAAGGCAAGCTGGCTAGCAAAAGTAGCCATTATCAGAGAGCTCTGGGTTTGATTTGAGAACCTGTCTCACTGATCTGACCTCAAATCAGGGGCCTCCACAAGTACACACACTTACATAAGCATGTATTCACACATGTGGATTCAAACATGAAAACACGCACACGCGCACGTGCGTACGCGTACACACACACACACACACACACACACACACACAACCTATGCTTCAGTGAGTGAACCAGGACCATTCCTGCCACTTGAGCATCACTCAGGCATGGGGTGAGAGGCCGAGAGGTAGGTGTTCTTGCATCTTTATTATAACTTGTCTGGGACAGGAAGTTGCTCTCTGACCTGGAGGAGGGGGTGTTACTGAGGGCAAAGAGCTGACATTCTTCAATAGGGAAATGGGCAGGCTCTAGGGTAGGGTGGGCTGGGAAGAGGGAGAGGGATGTCAAGGGCTCCTGGGACTGCTGTGGAAGAGGAAATCGGCCTCTATAGAAAGCACAGTCCAGAATGAGGCCGATCTGGGCTCTGGCCTCCCCCTCACACCAGCAGTGACCTTTGGGCCAACACTTCACCTCTCAGAGCGGCAATACCCAGCAGTAAAAGGCAGATAATGGCCCTGACCTCACGAGGTGGCTGGGAGTGCTGAGGCAGATAATGGCTGTCAAGTACCGGGCAGGGAGCTAGCAAATGGTGGCAATAATCATTATGCGCCTGTCGGAGCGGCGCATGGGGCACCATTCAGGCCCACTCAGGCTCACAGGCAGGGCTGGGGAGGGCAAGGTGTGGGGCCTGCCTCAACGGCGCCTGTCTGTAGGAGGAGTATCAGCCCCTTCATCAGCAGGCCCCAGGCCGGCAGATATGGAATGACATCCCTGGGGCTGCTGAGCTTCATTATGATCCAGCCAAGGCAGTTGGGAAGTAACCCACATGGGGCTTAGGCTGAGAACTTCAGGCTCAGGCTTCTCCAGCTAGCAAGTTACCACACAGAGGAGGGGACACAGACAAGAGAGGGTTGACTCCTCTTCCTTTGTAAGCTCTGGGGGCTGCAAAGGGGCAGCCAGCTCAGAGTTGAAGGAACCCTTCTGGAAAACAGGCAAGCAGCTGGCAGTACCGCCCCCTGGTGGCCACTGGCATTTCCTGCAACCTTTGCTTTAAATGATTTTTGTCATTTTTGGTTTTTTGAGACAGGGTTTCTCTGTGTAGCCCTGGCTGTACTAGAACTCACTCTGTAGACCAGGCCAGCCTCAAACTCAGAGATTCACCTACCCCAGTCTCCTGAATGATGGCATTAAAGGTGTGTGCCATGATTTAAACAACTATTTTTATTAGAGCAGGATGACCCTGGGCAAGTAAGTTAGTTATCTCTCTGTGCTTCAGATGCCTTATTAGTTTGAGGCAGGGTCTCTCTTCATAGCCCTGGAACTAGCTATGTAGATCAGACTAGATTTGAACTCAAAGAGATCCTCTTAACTCTGCCTCTTGTGTGCATGGATTAAAGGCCAGTGCCACCACCTCATAGAGGAGATACCACAATCAAGCCTAGGGGTTGTTTTCTAAGATTAAATATAATGATCTACTCCAGGTATTTGGGAGAAACAGCAGCTGTCCATCCTGTACTGGGGCCCATGTTGGTGGGACATTGCTCAAGAGCTGGGAACTGGCAACTGCCCTTATGGGGGCTGGAATCTGGTTTGCATGCAGCCAATGGCTTTTCCCACGCTGATTTGACAATTGATCAGGTGTGGGGAGGGGGGGAGGGGACACAGGAGGAAACTTAAAACTCTCTCTCTTGAATTTACTCCAGAAGAAACCAATGCAAGGACTGTCTCAGCAAGTCCATGTGCTTCCTGTTCTACTTGGCTGCAGTCTGTCCCTAAGCTCCAGAGGAGGCTGCTTACCACCTCCAAGGGCACAGCACATGGCACACTGCACCAGTCACGGGCACACTTATGGTGAGACGCTCTGCTCACGCACATTCCATCTCACACTGCCCTAACATTTAAAGTCTGTGCTCTCCCAGAGCACACTGCAGCTACAGTGTCCCTTCTGTACACAACAGTGTCATAACACCACCACACCCCCAGGTTACGGTAGATCAAGTTAGACAATGTGTACGTGGCGAGTCGGTCAGAGACAACTTGTGGAAGTTGGTTCTCTCCTTCCAGCACTAGTTTGACGGCAAGTGGCTTTACCTCCCGAGCCATCCCTCCCCTTGTTTATAGAAGTCTGACTACTGCTAGGTCAATGACTCCCCACCCCCCTTCCTTTCACTCAGTTGTCCCTAAAGTAGCTGTGTGACTTGGCACAAGTGGCTTCCTTTACTGGGTCTGAATGCTTTCAACAAAATATGATGGCAGGGGCTGGAGAGATGGCTTGGCAGTTAGGAGCACTGGCTGCTCTTCCAGAGGTCCTGAGTGCAATTCTCAGCACCCACAAGACAGATCACAACTTGTTTGTAACCCCTGTTTCAGGCAATCGGAATCTGTATGACCCCACACACATACATGTAGGCAAAACACCAATGCATAGGACATTAATTAAAAAAACAAAAACATGATGGTAGCATTAATCACTTTTCTAAGGCCCTTACTATGGTTTGTCCAGGATGCTTTACCCAGCTGGCATGGGTCACATGTAAAGACCAGCCCTCAGAGTTACATGTTAAAGCTAAGAGAAATATACATGCAACACAATGACTATTTCCACTTCCTCGCCCACCCAGGGATGTCTTAGCTAGGCCGGGCAGTGGTGGTGCAGCCTTTAATCCCAGCACTTGGGAGGCAGAGGCAGGAGGATCTCTAGGAATTCGATACCAGTCTGGTCTACAAGAGCTAGCTCCAGGACAGCCTCCAAAGCCACAGAGAAACCCTGTCTCGAAAAACAAAAACAAAACAAAAAATCCACTTCCTCTGAGCAGGTGAGGTATACCCTAGCTGAATACCAATCAACACTAGGTAACCAAAACTTGCCTGCAATAGGAACATAGGCCCCATGCTTGCCCTCTAAGAGATTTGTACATACATGTACACACACACACACACACACACACACACAAAAAAAAAAAAAAAAAAAAAAAAAAAAACACGAGTAGTTACTGTCCTTGACTTGGGCAAACTGTGGAGCTGAAAAGAGCTTTGGAGTCTGCCCCAGAAAGAACCATCCTAAGCCCATGACTAGAGATAAAAGCTTAGGCTTTTCTCCTTTCTGAGCCTGTTCCCATCTGTAAATATAACACTGATGGCCCCTGCAGGGTCTGTGGCTTAGAATCTTTGGATATACTGCCAGAGGGTAGAAGCTCTGCTCTCTCAGATGAAAGGAGACTCTGTGTCCATGTACAGGTCTCCAAGCTTGTCTGTCTACTGCTGAGCCCTTTCTGAACCTGCTCCCACCTCAACCCATACTCCCCACTCTAATCGTTCCTCCAGGCAGGGTTCGGAACACCAGTGTCAGGGAGATAAGCACTGGTCTCAGGCCCTCTGGAGGTAGACCTGCAATGCCTTCTCTGAAGGGGCATGTATTCCACTCTTCTCATCAGGAAAAATTCTAAGGTGACCTTCCAGGAGCCAGGTGCTGCTTGCTCCTTGTCCTGAACAAGCCTGTACTATTAAAGGCAAGAATTGTGCGTCCCTCATCTCTGGGTTTCTCTCTGGAGAGCTTCCCCCAAGTGTCTGCTCAGGAAAGTGAGGTACAGAGATTAAACAACTTTAAGCTCAGTGTTAAGGCAGCAATGCATGGGCACAGTCTCAAACTCCCAAGGGCTCCATGGCCTGGCCACAGGTTCCCATCTGGCTCCCTCGACTGTAGCAAATGACACAAACCATCAGGCTGCAAATACAGTTATCATAATATATTTATTTTAAGTGCCATCCATGCATATCAGTTCTGGCAGCGACAATCCTAATGACACTTGGAATATTTCTTTACAGCACTAAACGGTTACAAAGAATGGGTGCCACTCACCATCGGCAGAATATGAAATCGTGCAATAGGAAAACTGTAGAAACATTAAAACACTGACTGTCCAACAGCAGCACAGAGAGCAGGTTGTTTCTGCACAAAAGCCAATGCATGTCACCACATATATACAATATAGGTATGTACACATCACCCTCTCGATGAACATATCAAAATACTCTATTCCATTTGAAATTATCCCAAGGTCGATCCCCTCCCACTTCAAAGGACATCTGAGAGACATGTATTAAATATTTACAGGAACACACAAGAATACATTTACATTTCAAACACTGCCACAAATGCCAGTCGGACTCTTCTCCTGGACAGAGCACCCCATCTGTTTATGTATGTTTATTAGTCTTTACCCCAAAATCTCTGGTCAATTTAAACCCAAGAGAACTTGCTCTGCATCATCAATTACCAACAGAAATGGCCACTAGAGGGACTCTGCACCCATCAGGTGGCACTGCCTGGCCACAGCCCACTGGGCCTGCTCTGAACCCTGGGGAACAAGGACCACAGAAGAGTGATGAGTCTGGACTCAAGTGCCATTCTTGGTCAGTTTAAATATTAATAAATATGTCAATCACTGCAAATCAGTAATAATAGCCAAATGGGAAATTAGCTTCACATAATTTGTAAAATCATGATCAGTGGTCCTACTCAAGCCATTCTGTTTCAGAGACTGCAGTACTCCAACACCCAAATATTTAAAGTGCACAATGCTAGTAGCAATCCTAGTCATGGAGCAGCTGTTTGATGTCCAGAAAACAGAGACTTGAGTAAACTACTGGGAACCCAATGTTCCCATGCTTTCCTCTGCAGACAGCCATCTCATTTCACCTGGTCCTTCTGAGAGAGGCCTGTTGGCTACTATTTGAGAATCCTCTGATTTTCACTTATCTGAGCTTCCTTTTCATGCCAAGTGGGACACAAAAATAGAGATGCACAAAGCTCCCCTTTCTTCCCAGTGATTCGTTCAAGGCAACACTCCATTAATATGTGCGCGCGCGCGCGCGCGCGCGCGCGCGCACACACACACACACACACACACACACACTCACTCACTCACTCACTCCACCACAGACTTGCTGAGGCTTAGTTAACATGATTTAGCACTGCTAAGCCCAGACACTAACAAGCAACTGGTGAGCAGCTATTTCTCCTTGATTTGACAGAATCTATTTCCTCATTAAAACAGATTCTTCCTCCCCTTCCACCCATAAAGAACCAATTAGAAATCTATTCACTGCAAGGAGGAGAATCTCCTTTCTCCTACTTTCATTATAAAATCAACACAATCAACCCATGCAAACTGTGATGACATGAGACAAACCAACTGATAAAAGCTCCAAGATGTTCCTTTGTCGGGCATACACAGAGCCAACAGCAAGTCACAAAGTCACAGCACTCAAGACTGAAGTAGACTCTGGAGTTATAGCCCCTTCCAGCACTACCTAAAACAGAGAGGACACTGCTGAATAAACCCTGCCTCCGTGCCCTGCTGCCTAAACAGACTCTGGTTCAAATTCCAGGAAATGCCTAGATAGCTATTAAGTCTCCATCAGCAGGAAGGCTAAGTAAGAAGGAACCATACTCACCTGGTAAAAGGAGTGATAAAGAGAATGACAAATATTTCTGATTGTCTTTGTCTGTAAACTTTTATCCAGAGGAAAAAAAAATAACCATGCTTTCAGACAAATTTCTCCTTAGTGAACCCAAAAGAACTGCATTCACAGAAAGTAGCAATAAATATTAAAATAACTTTTGAATAATAAATACTTAAATGAATATGGAGACAGTGATTTGTTTGAAGAGCCAAGCAATATCCAGCTTCAATTAGTCCACACATTCCAGAGCTTTCAAAGCTGACAAGGTACAACACACTCTACAACTCCCTTGACTTACTCACTGGAATTCATGATTACTCCTATTTCTGAAGATTAAACAAAGAAAACTGGGCTTTAGAAAGACCAGTTTCCTTTTAGCGCCCTACACTGTCTGAAAGCATCCTGCAGAAAATGGCCTAACAAGGAATAAAAACTGGCAGTAACTTTCTTGTCAAGACACAATAGTCCAATTAGAAAAAACTTGAAGCCTTTCAGTAATGTTTGTACATATATTTACACATATGTATCTATAAACTGCTTGCAGCAAAATAGGCTCTGTCTGAAAAATCAGTCTGGCACTTGTGGTTAACATCAAACTGACACAAATATGCAAAAAGCTGTCTAAATCACAACAATTAGGAGCTACAGAGGGCACTGGTGGGAGACAAACATGTAGTTCTTGCTTGGGTCAGATAAAAGCAGTTAAGTTACCCAGCTAGAATCTCTGATTGTCTTCAAAATGAATTTAGATAGCACTGGTAACATCGCTTTGTTCTCTCAACTGGACTTTAATCCTTCCTTTCACTAAACAGAAAGGATGCTGGAGTCTGCTGTCTTGCAGAAAGAAGCCTACACTATTGAATCCCAATCAAAGTCATCCTGTATATCATCTGGAGGCAAAGAGCGCCGCATCTGGAAGGCTTGGGAAGGCATCATGTGCTGCTGGTTCATGGCTCCGTGATGGCCTGGAAAGAAGAAGGCAGTGTCAGTAGTGACCTGGGTAGGAAAGTCAGGAAGAGACTGACTAGCCCCTATAGTATGTCCTATGTGCTAGGACATGCCTGGAATAGGGACATTGCCTAGAATCCATCAAAGGCCTTCAACAAAGTTGTTCTTCCAGTCTTTATTTTCTAGTAAGGGAATAGGGTTAAAGAAACTGAACAAAAATCCAGGTATAATGATACAACATATGCAGTATCAACACTCGGGAGAAAGAGGCAGACGAGTCACCGATTCAAGGCCAGTATGGACTATACAGACTGGCTCCAAAAATAGAAGATTTAAGCTCAGTCCACCTGACTCCAAAAAGCAGTCTTTCCGTTTTATTAGCCTGTAGTAAGGAAGGCATGACAGTCATTTCACTAGTCTGCTACATTCTACTTTAATGTGTTTCAGTAACATCAATCAAGAATGACACCAGAGGACTGGAGAGATGGCTCATTTGTTAAGAGCACTGGCTTTTCTTTCAGAAGACCCATGGTCTATTCCCAGCACCCACATGGTGGCTCGCAACTCCAGGTCCACCAGATCTGACACCCTCTTCCGACTTCCTTGGGCAATTGGCACTCAACTGGTACACAGGCAAAACATTCATACACCTAATTTTTTTATTAAAAAAAAAAAAAGCCATTGGTGTACCACTGAAGTTAGACTGGGACATAACAAAATTTACTATTTTACAGCAGTCCTTCTATTATTAGAACTGAAGCAAATCCTTTGAAATGGTGTAAAATTCTTACTGGATAATTATTGCTGTTTGTATTCTTAAAAACAAAATTTTAAACTACCTGTTATTTTTCTCATGAATGCTAAGCCTTTCAGTATATCACACTTTATGCAACAGATGAGCCCAAATGTCTTTATTTAACCAAAGGATACATCCCTCACTGCACGTCAGGCACTAATTTGAAGCCAAGACAGGAGAATGGCTATCTGGCTTTCTGGCTTGAGCTCTAGCCACAGTATTGTACCTATAAATCGTGTGTGTGTGTGTGTGTGTGTGTGTGTGTGTGTGTGTGTGTGTGTGTGTGTGTGTGTGTATCACTCAGTGTGTGTGTGTATTGTACCTATTAATCGTGTGTGTGTGTGTGTGTGTGTATGGTGTGTGTATATATGGTGTGTGTGTGTATATGGTGTGTGTGTGTGTGTATATATGGTGTGTGTGTGTGTGTATATATGGTGTGTGTGTGTGTGTATATATGGTGTGTGTGTGTGTGTATATATGGTGTGTGTGTGTGTGTATATATGGTGTGTGTGTGTGTGTGTGTGTGTGTTTATGTGCACATGCATGCACACACAATGTATGTAACAGCAGACACATTCCTCCCACCTCACCCAGAGCACATCACTGAGCACCGCTCCTCCTTTCCCCACTGCCCCGTACACAGCTCTCCAGGTCTTAAACACCCTCACTGGCAGACACTGCTTACTGTCTTCTTCTCAGATAGGTAAAGTGAGTCAGAGTTAGTATCAGGACCTGAGTCTTAGTTTAACTGCTCATCAGCCTGGATTTCTGGGTTTCTCTCCCAACTCCAATTCCTCATCTAGGGGATTGCTAAGTTTCCTTCTATTTCTAAGAGCATGTTCTAGTCTCCTGGCCACTGTGACTTATCATACCTTTAGCCTAGAAACTATAGTTGGATTACTTCTCTGGAACCAATAGAACAAAATCCACAGAAGCTAGTCAAAGCAGGCCTCTGAAAGCTGCACTGAGTCATGTTAAAGCAAAATCCTCAAAGCTATTCTACACTCCACGCTGTAAAAGGAGAGTTCATGCCTTCTCAAAGCAGCTTCATTTACTCTAGGGCAGGTCAAGCTTTTCAGTGTTCAACTCTAGGTCCCAAATGTAGTAGTACACAAACACTACCTGCCATCGTAGTTCCTGGAGTGCTGAGCGCCTGTGGGATATGAGGATAACCAGGGGGTGGCATCACTGAGGGAGGGAGATTTTGCCTGGAATCTATGTACAAATTTCCTAATCAAAAAACAGAAAACATGTTACCACCATCAGCAAACAAAGCATTAGAATCATGACGGAATGGTTATCTACATGAAGCAAATAGGTAAGGCAATCAGTGAGGAATGAAATTATTACTTCTGAACTACTAGGCTAGGTGTGGAGCACACTGGTATAAGCTCATAGGCAAGGAAGGACATCTACAGTTTTTACTTCATTAAAGTTCAAAATTACTTCTACACCCATAACTTCACTTGAGCCTCCCACTACCCACACAGAAGGCCAGACAGAAATCACCCACTTCTTTCTAGAGGTCAAAGGAAGCTCAAACATTTAAGCAGGCTCCCCAAGGGCACAAGCCTCAAAGAACCAGGACTTAGAATTCAGGTGTCTTGGCTCAAAAGCTCTTTTTGCTGTTTCCCATTCCTCTACTGCCCTGAATTTTCCCCTTGACTTGTCTGTAGAGTTAGCACGGGCTGATTAACTATGTGGCCAAGGCACAAAGTAACAGTAAAGACACACACAAGGGCACAACTAAGCCAAGTAAAGGTGACTTTAAAACGTATCACAAATTTGCAGATGAGAAACATAAACCTCATTTAAATGGAACTGCAGGGGATTTTTAAGGCATTTTCACTGATAAGACCCATCAAGTTTAAGAGCTCAGAAGGGTCAAGTGCATCACATCACAATGGAAAATACTGAGGGAAACAGCATTATGACCCCTTCCTGGTAATTAATTCTAGGGCGGAAATCGATAAAGCTAGCCTTCATCCTACCACCTGGAATTTTGAGAAGATCATGTCAAAGGGATGCTAGCTAGTGTCTCACATAAGTTGAACTTAAATTCAACCAATGCAATGAAAATAAAAAGTAGCCACTATGCCTCCTAAAAAGGGAAGAAAAACCTATCCCTACTATTAATAAGGTAAAGCACATTGGATTTGGTCGCTCCCAAGTTTTCAATAGCTGTAGGAAAGCCAGACCTGTGCCCAGGCTTGAGATGGCCTCAGAGATGATCTAGTCCAACACACCCTCTACTCATACATGGGGAAATAGGAGCAGAGAAGAAATTTGAGGGGAGGGGGGCAGCAGACTAAGCCCCAGGTCATTACCTCCAAGCTAACTTGCTTAAATTCTGTTACATTCCTAACACTTTTATTTTTACAGGGCAAAACAAAACATAGAAAAAAACAAACAAATGCCTGTTGCCTAGGACAATGAAATCATGTAAATGTACATAAGCCCATACCTGCCCCAATGTGTTGGGAAGGCTTTGCTGGGTGCATGGCACCATGACAGACGTTCTGCTGAACATTGCTCTGTGAGTGGATAAGGCCAGTCTGTGTGAAGAACTGATTCAGAGAGGAACAGAGATCAGCGAACTGAACCTGATCTAATGACCAGTTCTTGAGATCCGCCTGCCTCATACTCTCCATCAGACCTACAAGGAAAGATGTGGGACACAGTGAGCACACCTCTAACACTGCAAGGAAACACCAATGCAAGTCTTTTCAACCCCCAGTCTTCACTTAATTCATGTGATGTGGCATTCTGCTCATGCAATGAAAAATGACATTTTATATTTAGGATTACCCAAGGGGCTCAAAATGCTAGGCTTGAAGCACTCAGACCTAGATTCAATCCACCAAACCTGCATTTTAAAAAAAAAAAAAAAAAAAAAAAAAAAAAAAAAAAAAAAAAAAAAAAAAAAAAAAAAAAAAAAAAAAAGAGCCAGATTTCATGGCATATTTATAATCTTGGTGTTTGGGGGAAGTGAAGACAGGTCCCAGGGACTCAATAGCCAGCCAGCCTAGCCTACTTGGTAAGCTCCAGGCCAGTGAGAGATCCTGTCTCAAAAAAGGGGAGCAAAGCTGTATGAGGAACTGAGTTTGGATTCCCAGAACCTGACTAAAAGCCAAGTACTATGGCACATGCCTATAATCCAAGCACAGAGAAGCTGAGGGTGGGAGCAGCAGAGAGAACATGAACAGGATGGAAAAAAAATACAATGGCCACCACACACAAGTAGGACAGGTGAGGACGGCCACTCTAGTTAAAACAGTGAGTTTCAGGTCCAATGAGACTCTGCCTCAAAAAATAAGTGGAGAAGCAACTGAGGAAAGAGTTCAATCCCTGGCCTGTACATGTGCAAGCACACTTACATATACCACATACACATAAATAGGCCAAAGAGATGGCTTATTGTGGGATAATCCTTTTGTACATTGTGAAGTCATTTCTTTGCCTAAGGCACCTTCTGATTGTTTTAATAAAGAGCTGAATGGCCAATTAGTAGTAGGTAGAGAATAGGCTGATGGCTTTCCAGGGAGAGAGAAGAACTCAGGAAGAATCTAAGGCATGTGGATACAGTAGGGAGGAGAGATAACAAGCCACATGGCAGAATACAGATTAAGATAAGCGGGTTAATTTAAGTTTTAAGAGCTAGTTGAGAACAAACCTAAGCTAAAACTAGTAATAAGTCTCCATGTTATTATTTGGGGGCTGGCAGGCCAAAGAAAGTCCAATGAGAAAAAAGTGCTTGTTGTGTAAGCCTGATAACCTGAATTCAATCCTTAAGAGTCCATGGTAGAAGGACAAAAGTGATTCTCAAGAATCATCCTCTGATCTGTACATATGTACCTTGTGCATACGCATGCATGCATGTGCTGGCACTCCTTATACACATACACTAACAATTGGGGGGTGCGGTAAAAAGTGGACAGCAACTGGGGAACAACACTTATGATTGTCCTATGGCCTCAAAAAGTAACTAAGCACACAAACCTGCAAGCACACAAGCAGAGGAAGAGGGAGAGGGATGGGACACAGGGAAGGGAGACAGAATATGTAAAGCCTGATTCTTTTAAACATGGCTAACAGTCCTCACAATTCTTATATGCAATGTCTTCCTATATCAACTGGGCAATTTATTAGAAGTTTCTATAAATGTCCTTTAAGAACACTACTACTGCTAAGTCATGTCTTTATATAAGATGATGCTTCTTGTCTTTTTTGAGACAGAATCTTGTTAGGTATCTCTGGCTAGAACAGAATCTGCTATGTAGTCCATAGCTGGCTCCACTTTTAGCAATCTTCCTACCTCAGCTTAGTAAGTGCTGGGAGAACAGGCACATACCAACATACCTGTCAGGAGATCTTGATTTCAACAACAAAGAAACAATATTCCAGAGAAAACAGATTCATGGTATCTGGTTTTATGTGAAAGGAACCAACCCTTACCTTGGAATTGTGAAAGGTCTACATCTGACCAGTTAACACTGCTGGCAATTCGACAGCTTTCCTTCAGCATATCGAGTGTTGCATACCAATCGCTTGAAACACCTAGAAAGTAAGGTTGACAACACTGTTAACTCTGGAATAGTGACTGCTGCAACAATACATATGGGAAGACAGCAAGTGGCCTTACTTCTGACATTGGCTGATCCCTGTACACTCTTAGAAAGGGATGTTTACCAATTCTATCAGGCCCTGGGGCAATCTCCTCTAAGAGACAGATAAACTTTCTATTTCTCTCCATTTCACAAATAAAAGAAACAGAACCCAAATAGGTAGTGCAAGATCTCCACAATGCACTTGAGGCTTTAATGCTGGTCTTCTAATCTCTATTCTGGCAGTTTTCAAATAGCCACATCACCTTGTAAGCAAATCTTGGTACTAGCCCTTTCATCTGTGCAGTATAAATAATGACCAAGAGGGAAACTCATGCAAATGAGTATTCTTTCCCCGTTAAAATTTCATTTTCCTACTTTGTAACCCACCTTAGATGATACATTATTGCTGGGATAAAGCTGAGTGGTAGAGCACTTGCCTAGTGTGTGGTGAGGCCACAGGTTCAATCTCCTATACCACCAAAAAGTTATTCTCTTCTTAAGTTACAAAGGACAGTTTCTATTTAGAAGCAACACAGTATAAGAAAATGCTCCAAACTATGGGACTGGATCAGATCATACAGTGAGAGGGATGCTAACAAGCTTAGGCAACCTTAGGAATGAGAAATGCCTTAACATAGTCTTCTAGATGTGAGTAAATGCTATCCCACTGTATAAACATTGCTGGCTTTAGTCCTTTTTGAATGAATATCTGTTGTTACAGTATGAAAGTCAGGAAACTCTACCACCAACTGGCAGTGTCATCTTATGCAAATGGTTTCAGCTCCTTTGAGCTGTGCTTTTCCTATCTATAAAATGTGCCAAGTTATACTTGATTTGGAAGCATGACAATATATCTGGGTTGTCTAGTACACAAAGGGTACTCAAGTAGCTTCCATTCCTACTCTCATCCTTCCATTCCTCACTATTAAAGAAAAACTGTTTAGTCCTATGCCATACACATGGGATGTATAATTCACTGGAATGAATTATTATCAGGCACACTGTGATTCCTTCTGACTCCTTAGGGGTGTTTTCTCTCTGTAAGGTGCCACTGGCAAAGAAACCTATGAGAGTACCAATTGTTAATTCCAACTCAACTTTTTCTCCCTAGCGTCAGACTTCTATTTCCTGAAACTACTCAACCTGCTCATTATTCATTCTCTCAGAACATATGAAGAATAGGCTTAAGTTTTTAAGAATATATTGATATTTATAAGGTATATAATACCATCTGCCCTGTTCCTAAAAGAGTTTCAATTCTATAATACATCTTTCTCAAGTCATGTATCTAAAAATAACTGCAAAATGTTTAGGAAATATTCCATTAAGGCAGAAATTTTCAATTATTCTATAGAATCTACCTAGAATTAACTAGGAAAACAAAATCAACCATTAAAGTCAAACAAAACAATTTAACAAGTATTTGTTTGACAGAATACTCATTTTGACTTTTTGTTTTAGTAAAATAAAAGGTAAACAAACTACAGGTTTGAGACTAGCTCAGACCACCTGCTAAGAAACTCCTACAAACAAACAAAAACAAGTAGTTTACCCTGAGTCATAAGAGTCAGGGTAAACAGGTCTTCAAACCTAAGTCTTTATATTTTAACTTGTGCTGTTTCTTTTACACTTACATGGAACCACAAAACTGCAAACAAATCGCACATTCCAGTCTTTCAAATCTCACTAGAAGCAGTGGCCAGGGCAATACCAGAATCTAAACAAAAACCTGTAAGGCTGAGTTTGCCTATGTTGCCAATGCATTTTAATTAAGAAACTCTTCAGGTTATCCATGGGTTGAATGAGATGTAACTACAGGACTATAGTAAAGAGGAAAGGAAAACAAGTAAAAAAGTGCTACAGGCGACCCAAATAACAAAGCACAGGTCTAATCCAGTTATTCAAACACAAGCAGAAGAAACTTACCAGAATTACAGGATACCTGCTGTGGGGGTGGGGGTGGCTGATGTGCTAACGTCTGATGCTGATGGTTTGGATGATGCTGTATGTGCTGATGGGGAGAGGGGTGCTGGGTGTGAGGTGGCTGGAGCTGGCTGTGTTGCTGTGGGTGTGACGCTGGGTGCTGGGGGCGCTGTGGATGCTGTGGTAAACCATGTGGTCGATGGGGTGTGTGTGGAGAGGGCTGTGTGTGCATTTGGGGGTGGGACAGCGAGACCTGTGCAACCGAATTACTGCCTGTGGCATTGAGGCCACTGTGACTGTTGGGCAGGCTGCTTTGGTTACTGTGTGGGTGAGAGCTCACTGTACTGCTAGGAGAGTGCTGATAGGAACATGAAGTGTGGGACTGCTGGGAAGATTCAGAAGGGATGCTCATCAAACCTAAAAACAGAATAAGATCATTTGTGGTCAGATTTCCTTCTATTTTATGACACTTGCAATAGTATTATTTACAGAGCAAGGCATACATATATAAGGAAGCAATACTAGAACACACATGTATGCATGTACACACACACACACACACACACACACACATTTTTTTCAAGTGCCATAAACAAACCCACAAACATGGTGCTATTAAACTTCCGTGGTTACCTCGTTGTTAATGCTAATCAGAACAAAAAACAAAACCCATGTATTGTTTTGTATTGTAAGCACCACCACTCCACCACTCCCATGTGCCACAGATGTGGTATGAGAATTCTTTAGCACAGTGCTCTAGGATGTCCTAGTAATCAAGTAAACTCTGCATGCAGGTTGAAATTAATGTGTTGTTCCTTTGCCACAACATAAATATACAGAGATCAGTAAGCCACAAGAGGCATAATACAATCTCACCCAAACCTCATCATAACTTCTCTAAAATTAAGCAAGTCTAACAGCTGGTCTGTGAAATTAAACACTTACATTACAAAAGAAAAAAAATGACATTTAAAAGACGCTCACCTTGTTGACTGAGTGACTGCTCAAAAACTGACTTATAAAGACTCCGAAATGAGGCACTGAGATCTTCAAAATTGTATTCTGTGAAAAGTAGTTGTTTATCTCGTTCTGGAAGGTTGTACTGTGGCTGCTGCTGAGGCGTTAATGATTGAGAGACTGGTTCTGGATGGTTAGTTACCTAATGAAAGACAGCAACAAATATAATGGCTTGATATTAGTGCCAACTCTGGAATCCAAGTCAATAACCTCAGCCTCTGGCTTTCCCCTCCTTTAGCCAGACACACCTTTTTTAAGTGTCACAGAGAAAAATAATTGACATGGATCTAGACGAACCACAGAAATCCAATCTCACCTCCACTTGCATAAAAAAAATACAGTAAGATCAAAGAAATCCAATAGCTTGTGAAGATGATGCAAGTAAGACAAGTAAGATATAAGCTGGAACTAGAATTCTCCCCTATCTCTTCATCATGATTTCTATAAAGGGACCAATACCACTTCCATCTCTTTGTATCATCTTTATGTAAGTTCAAATACCATCAACAGACATAGGACACTGCCCAAAAGAGCATTCTTCATTTTTAGAAGGAATTGAAGGGAACAAGAATGAAAGAGGTAAGTAATACAAAAGATTGGGGCTGTAGCACGTATAAGACTGCCCAGCATCTATCTATAAGATCCTGAAAACACTCCTGCCCCCTAAAGAAACCCAAAACAACGCCCAAATCTGTAAACCCAAAGGAGATCCTCAACAAAAGGGAATAGACAGGAGCCTTGAATTATGCAGGTAGCAGAGAAATACCACCAACTATGCAGGTAGCCTCAAAAATATGTAGCATTGAGTGTATGTTAAGTTTAAAGGGCATGTTTGCGCATTTATGCTTGTGTGAGTTAGCTGCCAGCATACCATGCCTTGTATACAATTGTGAGGACTGAAGTTTGGAGCCCTGGAATCCCAGAATGCCTAGGATAAGATAGAGAATGCTGGGACGCTCAAAGATCTGGTATATGCAGCTGTGAACAAGAATCATCTCTGAAAACAGCACAACCTAAAGCAAGATTTTTTTTTTATGATTACATATCTTTTATTTTCATTTTTTTGTGGTGCTAAGGATAGAACTCAAGGCCCTGAATATGCTAGGCAAACACTCTGCCACTGAGTTATATCTACAACCCTCATCAACTGTATTTTTGAAGGATTCTATCAAAAAATGATAAATTACCATTTATTTAGTGTTCTGTAATTTAAGGTCTGTGCACTCACTAAAAATCTAATTATTCAAAATGATGCTCATAAGGCATTTGTAATAGCAAGGAAAACATTAATTTTCTTTCTTTTTTCTTTGGTTTTTCTAATTCCAATTCCAAGGCATCTAAAGGCCTCCACATCCATAGACACACATGAATACAAAACATCTATACACGTAGGGGAGTGGATCCATCAACTGCATCCTGATAATCTTACACATGGCTATACAAATCATAACAAAAAAGCTCAATGGCAGAATATTAACGCCACACATTGTGATAATTCACAAATGTAATATTTTATGAAGGGTAAGCTTTCATCCACGCCCCTATCTTGGAGACAACCATGGGTTCAGTGAGGAATAGGTCTTTCAGTCTTATTCACAAAATGGCTATTACTGCATGTCATAAAACTGCTCAGCTGCCTACAAAAGCTGTTCCTCCACTAAAGCAACCTATTATCCCCCCCTTTTAATTTGAATTAGAAACAAGCTTCTTTTAGAGCAACCTATTATTAATGCAGTCTGTCACACGGATATTCTGGTTTGTTGTTGCCATGTGAGATGCAGAGAACACCACCATTCTGATCTGGCTTACACGGCACATTATTACTTATCAAGAATTACACACTTTTAAGTTTTATGTAGATTTTTGTTTTTGTTTTTGAGACAGGGTTTTAGTGTGGAACCCTGGCTGTCCCGGAACTCACCCTGTAGATCAGACACCCTAAAACTCACAGAGATCCACCTGCCTCTGCCTCCCAAGTGCTGGGATTAAAAGCACACATCACCATTGCCTAATCCTTTATGTAGATTTTCAAGTTAATCTATTTAAGTAATAAAACCGTTTAATCACATACAAGCTATCTTCTCGGGCTATGGACTTGTAACACAGAGCACTGCCCAATGTTGTTTAATAAATATTTGACAGCTCATTGGCATTTTTGTTTTACTTTGTTTTTTTGGTTTGTTTGGGTTTTGTTTTGTTTTTCTTGCTCTTTGAGACAGGGTTTCTCTGTGTGGCCCTGCCTATCCTGGAACTCGCTCTGTAGACCATGATGGCCTCGAACTCAGAGCTCCGTCTGCCTCTACTGGTATAAAAGGTGTGCCCCACTACTGCCTGGCAACACTGCATAGGTAAATGAAAACAGCAGCCTATAATGTCTAGTTCAATGGTTTGACACACTCACACAACAGGTACAACATACCAGTTCTTTTGTCCTCTAATTTTGAGGGCCGTTCTGTTTTCCCCGTGCCCCCTCCCCCCGGGGCCCCTTCTTGGAGACAGGGTCTCAGGTATCCCAGCCTGAATCTGAGCTCATGTACCTAAGACTGGCCTTTTAGCTTCTGGTCCTCCTGCCTCCATATCCCAAGTACTGGGATCTGTACCACTGTATCTGTATCTGTATCTGTACCACTGGCCCAAACCTAAGGCTGCATGCATGCTAGGCAAGCACTCTATCAACTGAGCTACATTCTCAGACCCAATAAATGCTTGCTTTTATTTTATGACACTAAGTTCTATTCTTTGATTTCTTTATATCAAGACACTTGACACTTAAGCAACTAATAATCATTAAATGTTTGCTTACTTCGCTTTACTCTATTCTTTTTATATAACAATTTCTTCATCTCTTTAGTCACCTAAGTATAGTAGAAGTATAGTAGGCTCTCCACATCTGTGAGTTCTATGTCTGTGGATTCAACCAAACAGATTAAAAAGTATTTGGGGAAAAAATTCTTTTGCATTGAACAGATAATATACTGTTTCTCTTCTACTATTCTCTAAATATCGGAGTGTTAACTATTACACATTACATGTATATTATATTAAGTATTTAAGTCATTCAAAGAGGATTTAAAGTAAGTGCACTGTGTAGGTTGTGTGCAAGTACTCCATTACATATAAGGGACTTGAATATTGTGCTAGGTAGGTTTTTGTCAACTTGATACAAAGTAGCCATCTGAGAAGAGGGAACCTCAACTGAGAAGGTGCCTCCATTAGATTGGTGTGAGAAAGTCTGTGGAGCATTAAAAACCAAACAAACAAAAAAAACGCTAATGATTGCAGGGGAAGGACCAGCCCACTGTAGATAGGGGTAAAGTGTTACCCCTGGGCCAGCGCTCCTGGGTGCTATAAGAAAGCAGGCTGAGCAAGCCATGAGGAGGAATAAACCATTAAGCTTCACTCCTCTGTGCCCACTGCTTCAGTTCCTGCCTCCAGGTTCCTGCCGGGGTTTCTGCCTTGACTTCCTATAGTGGACTGTATGTTATAAGAAAACAAAACCTTTTCCTTCCCAATTTGCTTTTGTCATGGTATCACAGCAAGAGAACCCTAACTAGAACAAGCATTATTTGATTTTCATACCCATGGGTGAAGAAGAGAAGCTTTGTATCTTTGTCCTGTGTGTTTTTCCTACTTTTTGTTCCTAGAATATGGAGAGGTCAGTTTTATACCAATGCATAGTGTGTTGTACAACTCTTGGACTCTGTACTGTTTAACAGGAAGGACTGTAACCAGATCCTTCAAAAACAAGACCTGATAATCCAAGGGTCATCTTCTTATAAGAGGTAACAAATGAACACAAGAGTAAGAATATTTATATACAAGTCCCTTCACAGCAAGACTTTGTTTTCCAGACTGAAATAAAAAATAGTCTGGTTTTCTTAAGATGGCCATGGCTCAGGACAGATGTGGCTTAGAAGCTGCTGCTAGAAATGGTCGTCGGATCCAACTAGGGATTCCTGAAGCGGTATTTGTGGAAGATGTAGATTCTTTCATGAAGAAGCCTGGGAATGAGACTGCAGACACAGTATTAAAGAAGCTGGATGAACAATATCAGAAGTTTATGGAACTCAACCTTGCTCAAAACAAAAAGAGTCTGAAAGGTCAGATTGCTGAAATTAAATCCTAAAATGCATGCAGAAGAAAAAGGAGTCTACCAAATCAATGGAGACCAGATTCTTACTGGCAGATAATCTGTACTGCAAAGCTTCAGTTCTGCCTACTGATAAAGTGTGCCAGTGGTCGGGGGCTAATGTAATGCTTGAATATGATATTGATGAAGCTCAGGTATTATTGGAAAAGAATTTATCAACTGCCACAAAGAATCTGGATTCTCTTGAGGAAGACCTTGACTTTCTTCGAGATCAGTTTACTACTACAGAAGTCAATATGGCCAGGGTTTATAATTGGGATGTAAATAGAAGAAACAAAGATGACTCTACCAAGAATAAAGCATAACACCGGCAATTAAAAATGTGGTTCAGGTTTCCAAACATGTTCAATAAGCCAGTGTTTATCCTTAAAGATTGAGTGTTTTTAAAACAGCAAGAATACTTAAAACTTTAAAAAAAAAACATTTTATTTATTTTATGAAAACAAAAATTACTTTCAAATATTTTATGAAATTAGCAGTATTTTTTTTCATATTTCCCTGCAAAGTAATGCTGCTTTCATTTTATTTTGTCTGTTATAAGACAACTCTTAACTGTGAGGAATGCTATGGAGGCTACTTAATGCTGGGTACCAGCATAGTTTACACAATTTTTTCTTTATTGATTGATATTACTCTCATGTGATGTGGTAAACCTTTTAGAGGCAAGAAAGACCAATAGTTCAATATTTGTAAACTTGTTTTTCTTTAGTACTTGTAGAACATTATCATCCTTTGTTGTTGTTGTATTCTGTAAATGGGGATTTATGCATTTCTGCTTAACCAGTAGCTTTTATGATACTCTAACCTTTTCAGAAAAAAAAATTCCTATACAGTTTGAAGGCTATTGACATATATAGACCCCAAAATAAGTACACTGTGTCTTTACAATGCCCTATACTGTAAAGGGAGACTTGATCAGTGTGAGAGAGCACTACCCATTCAAAACTTTAAGGTAATTTTTTATTATGTAACAGTTCTCCAAAGCATCTTGAACAGGTATATTAACATAAATATAAATCTGCAGTGGTTGCAAAAGAGTTGTAAGCTTTTATATTTGTGATTACAATTGCATAGGACTGACAAAATCTCTGGAAAGCCATTGGTTCTGTGACAGAAGTACTTGGTGATACAGATTCTCGTAAAAACACATGCATGTTATTCTATCTCCATGTAGTAAAAAGTATACTTGTACGACGTTTTGTACTTGTATTTCACGTTATTAAAATAGTGGTATTCAAAACAACAAAAAAAAGACAGTCTGTTCTACGGGCTGAATTTATTAACTGACTAGAGAGAAATACACTTTCCTCTTTCTTTCACTTATTTTATTTATATGTATGTGGTGGTATGCTTGTGCCATGGCACACATGTGGAGGCCAGAGGATAACTTGCAGGAGTCAGTTCTTTCCCTGCTTCTGGGAATAGAATCCATGGAGTTACCTCAGTAGCCCACGTCTTCTTTTTTTTTAGTTGGCATTCCAAGTATGCTTTGTTGAATTTTTGTACTAAATGAATAGCCAACAAAGAAACTAACTTCATCAGGACTTACCGGTGTGTAACTATGGACACTTCCAACACTGTTCAAATTAACAGACGCCAAACTCTGGTCTGATAGACTGTTGTTAAGGCTGCTTCTAGGGCTATCACTACCATCCTGATCAGTGTTGTACAATGTTACCTGGAATGAAAAGAAAAGCCACACCTGAATACACAGTTCCTACAATGAAGAAGGTTGTAAAGTAACACTACAAAACCACAACTGAGCCTACAGCAAGAAACAAAAAGCCAGTGGTCTTTCCTTCAGGGTTTGTGCCAACTCTATATTCAAATGTTAATTCCTCATTCACCATGAAACAATTTTTTTTACTGCTCTCAAAGAATATATCTGTCTAGAACATGAACTAAGTGTAGTAGGTATAATTATTAAACATTTAATATCAGAAGGTAGTAAAAATCTATCATGTAGAGCTTTATATGTGGTAGATGTATTCATGAATGCATACAAGTGCGCTCCCTTAAAATAAAAGGCGTCACAGTGTTTCTAAAATTAAAAACACATACTCATAAAACCATGGATATGTGATACAATTTTTTTAAACTGGCATATCTGGCATATTGAAAATTGTAACCAATTTTAATTGATTAATTCACTTAAAATAGCCATTAATCCAATTACATGTGACATTAAATTTTTCATCCCAGTAAACAAGTAAAATGAAACAGTGATGGTCTGCATTTTTGTAAAGTCTCAATGTCTGACTTGATAGGAAACAGCAAGCTTCTCATTAAATGCTTCCACATGCAGTCTGTCGATGTGTTGTTGCAAACACAAAAAGCATTAATGTACTTCTCAATTAACTGTGGACAGTATTTGATATTTCAAAACACGCCAACCATCAAGTTGAAATATGGAATTAGAGACCATGGCAAAAAACTGTTTACACTCAGTTAAAATCTGTTCTACCTTGTACTTTGAATTAACTGCACATTATTCTCTACACATAATGTTATTATGTCATCTGAATATAATTTAAGTGACCTTCTAAGTGTTGACATATTTCACTATCACACTTGTTAATATCAGCCCAATCCCACTAGATACATCTTAGCAGTAAGAAGGTAGCAGACTCATATAGTGGAGCCTCCTAAAATTCTAGGTTTTTCATTTGAAAGCTCAGATTTTTACCACAGGAACCAGATAATGCTGACTGTTTTCTTTGAAGCAGCAGAATCACCGTGTTCATTTGTTTAAAAAAAAAAAAAAAATTGCCAACACACGAAGTAAATAATCTGTCATAGTTGTTCTTTCAAGAGAAAACATTAATCCATGAACACAGTAGTTGCCAACATGCTTTTCTTTGTACTCTGTATACAGAAGTGATTTTGCATTCTCCCCACAGAATACTAAACAGATATGCTCTGTGTGATGACAATTTAATAAAACTATTTTTCCTGCTTTACCAAAGTAAAGCTAGTTTTAAGTTCTATTTAGTTTGATATCTGTGGCAGTGAAGAATACGAAGACCTACTTGAGAACAGAGGGTGTCACTGCCTCTACTGGGCTAAAATGCCAGTGGGCTCATGATACCTACCACTGGTTTTGGCGCACCAGTGGAAATACAAATATAAAAATAATGTTATTATGAAGACAATTCTGACCTCAATGGACTCAACTACTATGTTACTTCAGACACCCACAGTTGACTACATTTTGAGAAGGGCTGACACTCCTCAGTTTTCCCCAAGCCCCACTGATGCTCTTCCTAACAATCCATGTCAGCAGCCCATTTCACTATATGGATATCTACAACTTCTGACAGGTTTTCCTATTTTAGAATTATTTATGGTTACTCTTTCCCAAAGTCTTGTTTCCCATTGCATTATCTGCTCTAAATAGTATTGCCTTCCTCCTATTAAAAATATTTTATATGGCTGAGAACTTTATCATTATCTTTTATAATTTAGACTTCAGATCTATCTAAAACTGATTTTTTTCTATATAGAAAATGATTTTTCCTTGTACATTTAATGAAGACATTGCCTGATTTATTCAAAGAGACCTTGAGATTCTACAGCACTGGACCACTTACTGTTCACTTTCTGAATGGTGATGCAATGTGACCAGCAGACCCCTGCTGCCATGATATCCCTACCACAATGAGTGTAAAATTTTCCTCCCTTAAATTCTTTCTAGTCAGGTATTCTGTCACATGAATGAGCAAGTAACCACTACAAAGGGCAACTCAACTGCCTTACCAACTAAACCATCCCCCAGGCCCCTATTTTCTTTTTGGCCATCTGGCTTCCCACAATCTCAGTTTGTCATTTTTTCTACATTCCTTCCTTCTCTCCCCAAAAGCATAACAGGATTTTGACTGACATCACATCAGCATCAACTGGGAAAAACTGACTTCTACAATAGTCTTCTACATTAAAAAAAAAAAAATGTGTTTTTACTTATTTTCTGTCAATAATTAAGTTTCATGTAGAATTCATTTTTATTTAATTCTAGGTACTTGGTATATTTTAATACTAAATTAAACATTTCCCTAAAAATATACTGAGCCAGTGAGGTATCTCAACGGGAAAACGAATTTGCTGCCAACTACGATGACATGAGTTTAATTTCTGGACCCCTCCACCCCACTGGTGGAAGGAGAAAAACAACTCTGGAAAGTTATCCTCTGACTTCCACGAGTGTGCTGGGGTCTCTGTGCCCATCCTCCTCCCCACAGTTAATTAAATGATGGTCTACTATCAGATTTTATTACAGTTACATCTTAAATTAAAGCACTATCACTTTATCTGTATATTCTTTTGAATTTTCTATGTAAACAATCAAGTTTTCTGTGAATGACAACTCAAGAGCTTCTTTTATCTCCCCATGTTTCTACATAGTATCTTCAACCCGTCTTTTAGCTTCTCTGTGAACAGCATTCCTAACAATCTTAATGATCTTTCCTAGACTAGTTCTGCCATCCATGTTATTTCTAGTCTGGCTGTAGAAATTCTCCACATTACTTGTTGTTTCTTTCTACTTCTCTGTCTCCTGGCCCTTTCTGTTGTTTTGAAACCAGTGCTAGGGCTACAGGGGTGCATCACCACACCCAGCTACTGCCTGATAGTTCTTACCTCGTACCAGACATGACTTTCACCTTTTCCAGACATGTGTTTTTATGTCCTTATAAATGTTCTCTGGCTTCTCACTTGATTACTGTTATCTAAAATACTTTCTATTTTACTGATTTCTTTCTCATTTTATTACCACTGTACTTCACTGCATTTGCTTTGTTTTGCTTATTTTCAGACACTTAAGTCATTAATATTTAACTTTTGTGAAACCCATTATACATAATCGAGGCCATCTCTTTATATCTCACAGGCTGACAACACATATTTTTCACTGTATTTTACAAGTATTTTCTAATTCAGATCATATTTCTTTGATCCATGGGCAAGCTAAAAGCATCCTGTTTTACAAATTCTGGAGGAACTTTCTGACTATCCTTTGCTATGACATCTAAGCCTAATTTTACAGGATTGGAAAATATAATCTATATGTTATAACGTGTCTTCCAAATTTGCTGGGACCTTCTCTATGACTTAAGATAAATCAACATCTTATGATTGATTTTGGTAACTACTGCATATTCTGCAACTGTTGTTAATTTAGATTTTCAAATTTGGGTTTAAATTTTCTAAAATTTCAATGGAATTTTTTTTTAGTTATCACGATCTTGACTTTCCTGTTCTGAGTTTATAAACAAGTTAAAATCTACCATTATGAATAATGATCTGTCCATTTCTTCTTTCAATCCTGTCAGTTTTTGAGGATATGCTATTAAATGTACACAAATTAATTATACGTACAAAAATTATCATTTCATAATAAAATACAAATACTCCCTTATAAAATACAACTTTTCATTTAAGATGTACCTTTTATAAGCAGTGCAAAGCTGGATTTTTCTTCCCCTAACCAGTCTGAAACTTTTGTCTTTTAAGCCAAGTATTTTTTGTATTTACATTTCATGTTATCCCTGGTGTAACCAGATTTAAACACTACTTATATTCTTTCCTTCCTTTTGTTCTTTTGGGATTTATTATATTTCCTTACACTGGTATATTCTTTTACTTTTTCTTTTCTTTTTCTTTTTAATAACCTGCAGCAGTGGTTTATAAGGCATGGGACTTTGAGCAGTAATTGTTGGAAATTATAGCCCTGGATGATCTCCAAATGGAATTTAGCTGTCTTCTAACAAGAATACTCACCCATCACTCTATCAACAGCTGAGGCTAGTCTATCATCGTCTGTCCTTACAGAACAAACTCTACCCAATATAACTTGACAGCCTGAAGTATTCACCACAGCTCTTACTGAAGACTGTGAAATGCAATTTTTGTTTCCTGTCTGGAAAGACAGCTAGATTCTGGCTAGTGGTGAGTCTACTTTGTTTATAAATCTGAGCCCAAGCTATCAGAATTCGGATTTAATAAATACTTTAAAGAACATATTGCTTACAGAAACCTCAACTCCTGATAGTCCCCAGGGTCTTGTCTCCTAACTATCATTCATTTCATAGTCCCCTTCCTCTGGTTTCTGTAACCCTCACTCATGCCTGCTCCAGGCTGCTGTTCTCTGGCAGCTGTCAGGGACTTACAGAAATACTCCAAAGGAAAATTTTATTTATCTCGCCCCATGTATTTGCCTGATCCCTGAATCACTCCCTGTCTGTCTCCACTGCCTCCTTCCTCTTTGGCCCTATATGTACATGTGCAAGTGTGTTTGCATGTGTTGGGTGGAGAAAGACAGGAAGAGTGGATTTTCTCTATTAGGTATCTGAAAAAGAAATCTAAAAACTGCAGCTTCCTGGATATCACATGACTTGGTCAGGAAGTCCTAACATCATTTTTTCCTTGGTTCTAATAACCTCAGCTGTCCATGTTTAGGCCCTCGGCATCTCTTAAGACTACTGCAAAAGCTGTGTTGGAGATACTGGTTTCAAATCATACACTTCATCAGAAAATTTTCAGTTTAGCTGGCAATCATTAGACATACTATTTAGATATACAAATGTCTAAGCCCTATTCACAAAGACAAACTGTTAAGACATCACAGAACTCCATCACAACCAGAAAACTCACACAAACACTCCCTTCCCCCTAAGTGACTGTGATCATTCCACAGACTGCCATGTAGAAAGAAAAATTATCATTCCTTCACTCCCAGTGTCCTTTCAAAATTGAAGTATGATTATGTCAGGAATAAAACCCTGACAATCTTTACCTTCCTATAAGGCTCATGATATATATACATGCGTACTTACATGTATATATATGTAAGTATGCATGTATATGTAAGTATACATGCATCAGAAAAATGGAAGAGTGAAAAGCAGAAACAGTGTAGACACAAGCTAGAAAGAACAGAAGGCAAAAGCTACAGGGACAGGTAAAAGCAAGAGTGAGGAGTGTGAGCACGAGTAACAGAGATCCATGGCCTCAAGACTCTGTGGTCCAGAGCAAGAGACAACTCACGAAGCTCCCAACGCATGTTAAGACTTCTGACAAAGAACTGTCTTGGAAAGGAGAGACATTTGCAGTCCACTGTGTAGCTAATTGTCAACATCACCAACAAAACAGCAGACTGCCGAATGCAATTTCTGGGTACATTTCTAGACTTGAACATCACAAAAACAGGCTGACTACCATTAATAATATCTCTATATAGCTGTTTAAATTATGCAAATTACTTGTTCTAATGGATTCTGTTGACAGGGTCTAGAATCACCTGAAAGAGGGGCCTGAACACATCTGTGAGTGACTCTTGATTAGATTAATTGATGTAGGAAGACCCATCTTAACTGTGGGTAGGACAATCCCTGGGTGAAGATCCTGGACTATAAAGAAATGGAGAAATCATCACTCTGTAAACTCGGCTCCCTGCCAGGGTGGACTGTACTCCTAAGTCGTGAGTCAGGATAAGCCCTTTCTCCCTCAAATTATTTGTCAGAGTACTTTGTAAAATCAACAAGAAAAGAAACTAAGAAAAATTCCATAAAATCTGACATTTTTTCCTACAACCACATATTTAGAAAGCCAATCAAATTTTCAAAGCAAATTGATAAAAGAAAATACTAGCTCAAAAATTCTATCAATTGGAACCAGCAGAGCCAAAAACTTAAATTAGCACGTAACTGCTCAGTAAGCACCTTCCAATTTCTCCCAACAAATATTTGAACTTCACAATACACAATTCTATTGCCAATATAAAAGTAAACTAAATATATTACTCAAGGACATTTAAAAATGTTTAAAAAGTGGAATTACTTTGTTAGTCACAGTGTTGATTGCCAGGGTTGGAGAGGCACTTCCCGAAATAATACACTCCATTCCCAAAGAATCTGAATCTATGCTATATGGAGTTGAGGCCTAAAATACAAGAACAAAATAAACAATCATTAGCTTATATATCCAACAATTTGACACAGTTTGAAGGGATCTTAACAAATTCTCCAACATCCAATTTTGTGCTTTTTAAATATGATAAGTAGCTATTAAAATCCCTTCTACATTCTCACTATATTCTACATTCTCACTATATTAGGGTGTGCTACTGACCTTATCCTATCAAGTCTACTGGTACAGCTACCCCTTACAACTTCAGTATGTCTCATGATAGGGCAGTGCAGGGTGGAGCTAGCCTCTAACAACCTTCCCATTTCTCCTTTTCAGCTACAGTTATCTTCTCATAGCTGCAGGCTTAGGACTACCTTTCCCAGACTTATCTGCAGCTTGCTTCAGCCATGTGACTATGTCAATGGTCAATAGAATGTGAGTAATATATGGACCGTCTGCAGCTTTTCTTTGAAAAGTGCTGGCTTGCCTGAAATCTCTCTCCCTCACATTATGTACTAGAACATACATATAATGGGAATAGTCTTGTTTATCCTGAAAGATGAGTTAGGCAGCAACTGAGAAACATTGGAAAAACAATATTAGAAAGAATCTGTACATTATGCATGCAACAGAGCTGTGTATCCCTCTGACCTAATCTATACCTCTGCCTTCACTTGAGAAATATATATCTTTAGTTTAAGCATCTCTGATATAGCATTCTTATTGCTTGCACATAAAAGCAACAAAACCATATCCTAAATAATATATCCTATGCACTGTTAAACATGAGTTTCTAAAACAATATTCAATGTTGTCTGCATTTAAAGAGTGTGTGTTTCTCAAAAATTCAACATTAATGTTAAAGGTATAAGAAAGGTAAATATGAGCCCAAGGCTCTGGATTCATCCTACCCCCCAAAGTAACAGGAAGCCCTAAGGAAAAAATAATCAACAGAAGCCCATCTAAGATTAAGATGTTATAATGAAAGAGATCTTAAAATGGCTATTAATATACTCATAAAATAAAGACCATTTAAACAAACATAAGGAAAAGCTCAGTAAAGAACTAAAGACATAAAAATGAATTTTAAAAAACTAGGTAAATACTATTTGTGAAAGAATAATAATCAGTGGGATAGGCTTTATATAAGAATGGAAAAGAATTAGTAAACCAAAAGGATTATCAATAGGAACAATCTAACGTGAACAACAAAAACCAGAGAAAGCAGAGTTTCTTAAGTTGTGTGAGTCAATAGGTCTCATAAGACACTTCACTACAATTTTAGAACTGACAAGTGCTTTTTTATCCTTTTTTTAGGATACAAAAATATATTAAGAACCAGTAGTCTTTCTATACTCCAACACTGAATTTGCATGAACTCATGAAAACAACCCAATTCCTAAGAACTCCCTATCAAAATCTGTTAATCAAGCTAACCAAAGTGAAACACTTTTACAATGAAAATTACAAAGTACTTTAGAAAAAGGGCAGACAGACCTGTCACATGTGTAAGAAGAACACTGTTAAAATGTTCACACTATACCTAAATAAGTTATAAATTCTATGCGATACTCAAAATAAAAGTGTTCTTCACAGAACCAGAAAAACCAACCAACCAACCAACTTAAACTCATATAGAAGAAGAAAAAATAACAAAACCAAACCAAAGCCAATTTTGAACGGAAAGAGCAAAGCTATAGATATCACAACACCTGATTTCCATACATACAACAGAGCCACAGTAACAAAAACAGCACAATACCAATAGGCCAATGGACCAGAAAGACAACCCAGATATAAATTCACCCATTCACACTGTGCTAGTTAACTTTTTCATAAACTTGATACATACAGGAAGAAAAAAAACCTCTGTTGATAAAAATGTTCCCTATCAGACTGACCCACAGGTCAGTGAGCATTATTTTTTTTTTTATTAATATTGATGAGAGGGACCAGCTCACTGTAGACAGTGCCACCACTGGGCAAGTGGTCCTGAGCTACATTAAAAAGCCACTTAAGCTGCAGAAAACAAGCCAGCAAGCAGCATTTTTCTTTGATTTCCGTTTGCCTTCCCTCAGTAATGGACTGTGATGGGGATCTGTAGACCTGATAAATCCTTTCCTCTACAAGTTGCTTTTGATCATAGTCTTTATCAAAGCAATAGAATGAAAACTAGGACATATAGTTACCCAATCTAAGCAAAGGTTTCAAGTATACCAAGACCAAATGCAGCTTCTTTATTTAACAAAAGGTGCCAGGGGAAACTGGATATCCGTATGCAGAACACTGAAACTGAAGACCAACAAACATCAACTCAGAATGGGTCAAAGGCCTTAATGTAAGACCTAAAACTGAAAATTCTAGACAGAAACCATAGCATAAATGTTTTAAGATACTGGCATAGTCTATGATTTTCTGGATAGGACTATGGAAACACAGAAAAAAGCAATAATTAAGAAATGAAATCACACAAAACTAACAGACAAGAACAGTGATGAGGCATCCACACAACACAAGATGTCAGCTATTCATCTGACAAAGGCAAACAATCAGTTCAATTAAAAGGTGGTAAATGTTCTAAAAATACACTTCTCAAAAATACATGAAAAAGTCAGAAATGGTGGCATATGCCTTTAATCCCAATACTTGGGGAGGAAGAGGCAGGTTAATTCAAGGCCATCCTGATCTACATAGCAAACTCAAAGGCAGCCTGAGTGCAGAGTCCCTATCTCAAAAACAAAACAAAAAGAATCTATAAGAACAACGTTGAATATGATTAAGAATGAAAAAATGCAAATTAAAGCTATAAAACAATACCATCCCACCCCACACAGAATAGCTACTTATGAAAACAAAGAAAAATGCTAATATGATGTAATAACAAAGAAGTGCTCATACACTGTCAGCAGCAATGTAAGTAAAGTATGTAAGAATCAGTATGAAGTTTCCTCAAAAATTAAAATTAGGGGCTGGAGAGTCAAGTGCACTTGTCCTTCCAGAGGACCAGGGTTTGGTGCCCAGTACCCACATGGCAGTTTACAACTGCTGTCTAGGCTCCAAGGGGATCCAATGCCCTCTTCTGATCTCTGTGGGAACCAGGCACACATCTGTTATAGACATACATTCAGGCAAAACACCCAGTCACACAAAATAATAAATTCAGAACCACATCATTCAGCTCTCCTATTCTGTGGTATGCAACAATGAAGACAACACACTCGATATGTGTCCATACATATCAGAGCTATTCTTAACTATATTGTGGATAAATATAGTATGCATTTAAGTGTGCATACACACACACACACACACACACACACACACACACACACACACACACACGAGTATCCTTCAACCATGAAGAATGAGATTTTGTCATTTGTAGGAAATGAAGGACATTGTGATGAGTAAAATAAGGCAATGTTTATATATTCTCATATGTGGGAACTAAAACAAATCCTTAAGTTGCTTTTGCAATCTCAAATAGAAGAGTGAACAAGGCCAGACAGTGATGGCACACACCTCTAATCCCAGAACTCAGGAGGCAGAGGCAGGTGGATCTCTGTGAGTTTGAGGCCATCCTGGTCTACAAAGCTAGACAGAGAAACCCTGTCTCAAAACATGAAGAAAAAAAAGAGAGAGTGAGAGATGAAGACTGAGTAGAAGGCTCAATCAACTCATGATGCACATGGAGACATACATGGAAATACCACTATCAACACCATTACTCAATACAGTTCTAAAAATATCTAGTTGGTATGACTGAGAATAATATAAAGAAAGAGATAGAAAAACATAAAGAAATAATGACTAACATTTGGAAATTCAGCAAAAGACAAAATCTGAAAATTTGAGCAATTCACTGAACCATGATAAGGACAAACATAAAGGGAAAAGAAAACCATACTTAGACACATCTAACTGATCCTGGAAAACAAGCACAAGAAAACATCTAAAGAAAAAGAACAAATTACATACAAGGGATTATTAATAGAAAAACGACTGTGAGTTTCTCATCAGAAATGACAATATCACAGTGAAAAACCTCAAAAGTCCAACAAACAAAAGCAAACCAATCCATAATATAAATATTCAAGAAAACAACACACTGGGCATGATGCAAGGACTACTGAGTTTCAGGCCTGTCAAGGCTATAAAACAAGAATCTATCTCAAAACAAGAATTTATCTCAACACAACCACACACAATAAGTGTGCACATGCACACACTCATATGATAAAATAAAGATATTCCTTTCAAAGACAGGAAAAGTGGACTTATTGATAAAAGACATACCTAAAAGTTCTTCTGGCCAAAAGGAAATTATAACATATAGAAAACTTGGGACTATGAGGTATACATTAAAGTACCAGAGGACTGGTTTTCCCCTCAATGCAGCAATTCATGAAGGCACCAAAAATAGAAGATGATACAGAAGACTATTTTCCTCTTCAGCTCTAAAATTCATGTATGATTGATTATTCAAGGCAAAAAATTATAAAATGGTCTTTCAAGAACTGTCAGCATATACAGATAATATATTACAATGAGGGAGATTCATGGTGAGGAAAGTAGCAAAGATGCCTACATAAAATATACAATACTAACTCTAAGTAAACTGCGAATGTGAAATTATATATTCCCATAAATGCACACACACATATATAATTTGATATAGTTTTAAAAGTCTATAAGTAAATTAGCACAGAACACTAAAATATATGCTAAAAAATGCTCAAAAAAAAAAGCAGCAAATATCAAATAGGAACAAAAGAGCAAGACTCAGAGAACTGGAAGGAAAGGAAAACTGTCAGTATTCATAGATGATCCAATTATTCAGAGAGTATTCCAGGTCATTTAAAATAATAATCACAACTAACAATATCATAACATAAAAGGCTAATAGACGCCCCCTCAAAAATCAATAAACAAAACAAATTTATATGCTTGCAAAATCAACTGGAAATGTTTAAAACTCAATTTATAATAGCATTATGAAACAAAATATTCAGGATTAACTCTAACTAGAAATATGCAAGCCCTTTATGCTGAAAACTAAAATCCCATCCAAAGTTGGAATTAATATCAAGACATGCTTTTTCCTCAGATTAGTGGTAGCCTACATGGGAAAATGTATGGAAATGATAGATTTCGTTTGAAATTTCACAAGTAGTAAAGTACTGAAATATTCAAGTTATAAAACTTTATGCATTTAACTGTACACAAACTATCCTTTAATTATGGATGGATGGATGGATAGATGATAGATAGATAGATAGATAGATAGATAGATAGATAGATATAGTTTCTCCTACCTAGTCATTAGAAACCTTCAACTATGTACAGGATTTGTTTTAAAACCCCTAGAAGATTTTGTTTACAAACATACATTGGAAGCAACATGCAGTACGTCCCAAGTAGTGTTCTTGCGTAACTTAAATATTTCTTCCATTCTACAGCTAAGAGGAAGGATGTAAGCTGGCATTCCTTCCTCTGCTCACTTTTACCTTTTCCTTAAACACATCCTTACCTTTCTCAAACTCAACTGAGAAACTGAGTCACAAATAATATCATGACAATCTTAAAAACATGGCCAGATACAGACTATCTTCTAGAAGAAAGTCTTCTTGGGTCAGCAGGATGGCTCACCAGGTTTTTACTTTCCACTGAAACCTGATGGCCTAACTTAATCCCCAGACTCTGTGGTAGAAGGACAAAACAAATCCCCAAATTTGTCCTGTGACCTACACACACATACGTGCCTGCTCTTATACTTGGGTTCCCTGTCCCCATACATACACGAAAAATTATGAATAAAATTAAGTGATTTTTAACCTTTTCAAATTATCTGTCCACCTTCCAGTTCATGTCTTAATTCAATGTAAATAATTCCTAACTGTACACAATTTAGTTTTCTTCACCAAAATTACAAGTATTTCAACTTCATTACTTCCCCCCAAAAAAAGGACAATTATGTCTAAATTTCACATTCAAGAGCACCCACTTCTTGAACACCTTGAATCTTCTGTTTCTTTAGACTATGACAATACAACTGTCAACAGTCTGGGGAAAGTCTGGAACTCTTAAAAGTAAACAAAGTTTCTCTATGAATGACCGAGTAAAAGAGAGGATTAACATCCAAAAAGCGTGCAAAGTTGCCAACCCTATTACCAACTCCAACTTCCAAAAATAAATTCAAACTTCAGTAACTTCCAAAGAAATAAAACAGAAAAAAACAAAACAAAGCCACAACTTCTCAGCCCCTTCATCTTATTCATCCAAACTGCTTGATAATGTCATGGGCTAAACACTGTGAACAAATTTTCCCTTCCTTCAAACTTCTGCCAACGGACATTAAATGCTTTGTATTATACATACCCAGATACTAAGCCTATCTTCTTAAACCCTAGTTCATTTAAGAAACAAACAACTGAGGCTCCAAAATTCATATTGAATTTTAAGTTGATACCTGGTTCCAATATCTAAGCTCTTCTGTGGCCATGCCTCATGTGACCCTGATTCAAACCTAATCTGAGGTTCTGATTCTTTTATTAAGACAGAAACTCATAATATATAGCCTTGGTCCTTATCTTTGAGGGGAAGAAATTATATTCCAGCAATAGACAGTCACGTCAAATTTATTTCACAACACATTACATGTTTCCTTCCTGATCTACTCTGCAAACACCTACTATCCACTGCAGGCTGTGTGATACACTAATGTTAAAGACTTGAATACATCTTTTCTTTGTCTTTAAGGAGAGATTAGCCCAGTAAAGGAGAAAAATACAGGAAAAAAATTACTATAAAGTATATGTAATTTTATAAAAGAACTTTATAAAAATTCTACACCACCACAAATGCAAACACTAGGAAAGGCTTTACTAAGTAGTAAACACATGAAGCTAGTCCAACAGCAAAAAGAATGAGTATGGATGTTGAGCTGAAATGCTGCAACTGTACAAAGGGTGAGGAAAACTGAGATGCAGTCAACATACAGTGGTGGCAGCTCACTCCATGTATTAAAACACACATAACTGAACTATCAACCAAAAGTCTTTTGTTCTTAGAAATTAGCTTTAATCATGGATTCATACCAACACAGGTATAATAAGTGACTGCTATATGGATGAAAGTAGGGAAAAGGACAAGGTGAGGACAAGGAGAAAATCTGATGTAACCAGGAAGAGCATCTGTGAAATGCCTGTTATTTAAAACCAATCCTCAGTGTAGGAGGTGCAGAGCAAAGCTACCAGACTAAAACTCGGGTGCCTGAGTGTGAGTCTCACACAGCAGGTGTGTCTTTCAAGCAATTCTTAAGCTGCCTCCCTTGCTCTAAGGTGAAGATCAAACAAAATGGGTCTGAAATTACACAACAGTATAAAACAAAACTTTACTTTGCTTGTGATTACACCTGATCTACTGGGTTCTGATATGCATAACAGTCATGAATCATAAGGGGCTTTACCCGTTCAACAGATCGTGCCCTCTTCTTTGACCGAGTAGGCAGTGTATCTTCCTTCGGATTGGTGTCTATTGCCCAGTAAGAACCCTAAAGATAAAGAAATAAATGATATTAATTGTGTATTACAGTAAACTTTAAAACATTTAAAGAAATATTTATAATCTTCTCCAGAACCAAACATTTTGCAAATATAACAGACAAAAACATGGGAAGACACGAAGCTGCTCATTTGTGTTGGTGGTCCCTCCCAGTGGCTGAGCTCCAGGACTCACACCTGCCAGGAAAGGCTCCCCTCCCCACTGCTAGCTACACCTCTAGCCCATTCTGACAGTCATCTTGAAACAGGATCTCATCAAGTTACCCAAGTGGGCCTCATCCTTGGAGTCTGCCTGCTTCAGGTTCATGAACAGTTGCGATTACAGGTATGCACAACCCCACCAAACAACTCTAATTTTAAACTGAGAAAAAGGATGCATACAGCTGAGTTACTAGAGAAGAGACCACAGCTACAGATCTAATTCAAAGGTTCCTGCCACTACTGAATCAAGAAGAAACCACAGACAAATGTGCTTTTAGTACATGACTCGTCCGTCTTTCTTCCTTCCTTCCTTCCTTCCTTCCTTCCTTCCTTCCTTCCTTCCTTCCTTCCTTCCTTCCTTTCCTTTTGGTTTTTCAAGACAGGGTTTCTCTGTATTGCTTTGGAGCCTGTCCTGAAACTCACTCTGTAAACCAGGCTGACCTCAAACTCATATAGATCCACCTGCCTCTGCCTCTCGAGTGTTGGGACTAAAGGCGTGCATCACCACCACCCGGCAGTGTGACTCATTCTTACTTTATTATTTTTCATTTAAAAACTGTGTGGAGGGGAGGGGAGGGAAGAAAATGTTGTTATGTGATTAGGTAGAAATAGTCATAGCTTTATATTCCAGAGAGAACAATTCCCATTGCCAAGCATATGTTCAGTTCCTGCTCTTCCTTAGCTCTTGATAGCCATCTATCTCAAGAACTTCAAAAATGAAAGCAGACCCTTTCCAACCCTGACATCCATAGTTTTGTATCACATCAAAATCTGTTCTTTCTCATTCCCAGTTTCTATGTGGCCATTCACCTTGCTCACAGCATCTTAGGGTGCTGCTGCAATAAGCATTCCCATATAAAAAGCAATCATATCTGCCAGCTTGTGTCTGGTTTACTCCCACTGCTTCAATGTAATAAACAACATCATCTTTCTCTCAAAAGTGTTTACTTTAAGCACCAAAGCTACTCTCTTCAACCACAAAGGAGACTATTAATGATCAAACACAGTGGGCACTCAAAGACAGGCTGCTTGGCTGGCTGAATGAATGAAATTTATAAACAATTATCCCAATGCCAACTTAGGTTCCTGGAACATGTTTCTGGAACAAATGCAGATTTCATCGCATTAATTATCAAATTAAGTAAATAATGTCTAGAGGGACAGCTAAGTAATTTACTTCTAAACTAGAACTAACAATAGATTTAAAATATGCAATTACCATATTGATTTAATAAATGACTATTCTAAATGTTAAAAGTACTTAAGATACTTTTACTTAATCAGTACCCTAACTTAATTCTTTCACAATTTTTTACATTGAAAAAGTTTTTCTATATCATTCTGAATGTCTAAGAGATACACAGCTCACCTGTTTTTAATATGTAACCTGCTAAAAAAAAGACAGCTTGATATAACCACTAGTGGATTTAATATGACTATTAGTTTTGTTTTTGTTTTGTTTTTTTTTTTCATCTCAATATTTATCACTATCTGGTCTAAGCCTAAAAGAAAGGAATTTGATGACCTAATAATAGCAACAACTCTCATAGGTCATTTGTTTCCTACTTCCTGTGAGAAATCCATAGGATGGAATACATGTAGCAAGATGGAACAAACTGTTGTGCCAGCAACACGGATGAATCTCAAAAGCATCGTGCTAATTTTTTTTAAGGGTCAACTAAAAAGACTGTGTACTATGAGTCCTATTACATACCAATCTGAAAAAGACAAAATTCTAAGAAACAGAAAACACATTAGTGATTGCTAGAGTCTCGAAAAGGGGGAGCCAACTTCTCAAAGGACAGAATAAAATACATCTTAATCATAATGATTACACTATATGCTTCTCAAATTTTCTAGAATTGTAAAGTGAAGTGATTATCATTTATAGCCATAAAAATTAACTTTCAGGTTAAATATTTTATAAAATAGACTGGAAAGGGGGCACAACAAAGTATTACATAGCATGCTATTTAATGCTGGGATGGAAGCTCTATCTTCTGAGTCCTTTAAATCAGTGGAATAACTATTATTAATGTTGGCTTTTAATATTCAAATATTTTATTTTTATATATGAATGCCTAAGTGCCAGTGGGTACCCATGGAGGCCAGAAGAGGTTGCTAGAATCCCTGGAGTTAGAGTTACTTAATGGGCAGTTGTGAGCCATCAGATGTGAGTGCTAGAAACTGAACTTGGGTCTCCCTGCAAGAGCAGCAAGCAGGGCTGAGCAATCCCTCCAACCTTAGCTCAGGTTGGCCTCAGCCTCCTAAGTGCTATTAATTCTTTAATCACTGACTTACCTGTTCAAATTGCTCCTTCAACTAAACTCGATTATGTCCTATTTCAGATGGCAACTGGGCTCTTAGCTACAATGACTTAAAACCACTATATCTACTCAAATATGTCAGAAACAGCAAACTGGAAAGCATCATTTACAAACTCCTGTGGAGGGTTTTCTTACTCCATTAATAGGATGTCTTCCTTTTTATACAACCACACTCTTGGTTAGCCTTGTGTCCTGTTTTCTCTCTGGCTTTATATAAAGAGACAGAGAAGCAGCCCACTTCCTCACAAACGATATGCATGGACTTTTTTAAGAATGGTGTTAAAGAAGACTTTTGTCTCCCTTCTTTGGGACAAATACCTGATTCCTTAAGAACTGTTTTAAAAAGTAAGATGTTCCAAATGGAATTATCAGTGAATAACAATAATCTACAATTACATCACTACCTGATGTCCCCAAAAAATTTCCTCCGAAAATAATGCAGTTAAACTGTGTTATTCTCCTTTATACTAAGTCAGAGAATAGAATTTAAAAAAAAAAATTACAATCTATGAAATTTCCAAAGCTTCTATAAGCAGCTAAGTTTGTTTCTTTACCAAACAAGATGAGACCAAAATATTCAGAACCATGGTGACCTTCTATTCTCAGGCTGTTTTTTTCCACCATCATTTTACACTAAGCTCCTCTTATGAATTAACTGTATGTAATTAATGCCCCAGAACAAGCAGGTAGAATCCAACTTCTTAGTTGTTAGACTAGTTAATAGTATACTGTTATTCATGCTACAAGTTGAAGCTACTCCCAATAATCCTTTGATTCCTTTCAGATTGAAGTATTCTTCTGAACTGAAGAAAGAACCAGGTTGAAAAACAGACTAAACCATGAAACAGAAGACACCTATCATGTTTAAAACCGACTCAGAGCACTGGCTGCTCTTCCAGAAGTTCACAATAGTCTGTAACTCCAGTCCCAGGAGACCCAAAGCCCTCTTCTGGCTTTCTTGGGCACCAGACACAAACATGGTACTCTGAGCTACATGCAAGCAAACAGAAAAAAAAATTTTTTTTTCTTAAGCAAAAAATGCAGACATGGAGAAAGGACTCCAACTCAGGGAAAACAAAAAGAAATTTGTTCTCCTAAGAGAATAGTTATGGAGCAAAATAAATTTCATTTTGTGTTTCTTTAAAAAAAACAAAACAAAACAAAACAAAACAAAAACAGTAACAGTATGGTCTTTGAGGGAAAACAGACTTCTTACGTGACCAAGCAAGTAATTCAACAAGCACTTCAGGTAGAGGCTGCTTTTTATACTTCCTTGGCAACACAGTGAACAGGAAGCTATACCATGCAAAGATGTTTAGTCAGTTACTTTTACCTCTTTGGCCTAATGACTCAAGACCAGAGCTAGTAAGACTGTAAGAGATTTTAAAAAAAACAAAACAAAAAACAAAAAAAAAAAAAACTCCATTCTATACCACAAATCAAATCTACTCCCATCCCTCCTTGGCTCAATGATTTTCTCTCACTGTGGTGAGTGTGATTTTGGAAAAGCTTCTCAAATGCCAGGAAACACTAAATACAACAAAATAACAACAACAAAAAACTTTTTTATAAATACCCAAACTTAACCAACATTTTGGCCTCCCCTCAAGAAAGACAAGTAGGGAAAAGGCATTCACTACAAACAAGTGAGCTTTACCTGTTCAGCATTCATTCTAAGCCTCTGTGCTTATCACAGATTGCTTGGAAGAAGTGGCAGCAACACAGAGGCAAAATTCTGAAGCTACTAAAATAACATAACCTCTGCCATTAACTGACCTTAAAAAAAAAAAAAAAAAAAAGTCATCAAAGTAGGGTCAGGGGGTACACACCTTTAATTCCAACACTCAGGAGGCAGAGGCAAGCAGATCTTGGAGGTCAAGGCCAGCCTGGTCTACAGAGCAAGTTCCAGGACAATCACAGAGAAACCATGTCTCCAAAAGTGAATGAATGAATGAATGAATGAATGAATGAATGAATGAATGGAAGGGAGGGAGAACCAAAGAAATGAGTGGAGACATTCCTAATGAAAAACTGAAGAGCCAGTTGTATGTAGTTCTTCATGAAGTATTCCTCTTTAAATTAGTTTAATCTAGCCTTCTGAAACAGCTAAGTAAATGTAACCAGAATAGCCAGCTGTCTCTAACTCCAAACTGAATATGAACAAGGAGTACCTTGGCCTTGAACCTAATTATCTCTCTCTTACAAAGTGGAATAACACTGAAGTTTCAAAAACATTTTAAAAGCAATGGAATTTTGTTTTCTTCTAAAGTAATTATTTCATTCAATCTCTTAAAGGGGCTGGAGAGATGTTTCAGAGGTTAAGAGCACTGGCTGCTCTTAAAAGGGGACCCTAGGTTCAATTCCCAGCATTAACATGGAGGTTCACAACCTGTAACTACAATCACATGGGATTCAACAACCTCTTCTGATATGGGGCACCAGGCACACATGTGATAAACAGACTTATATGCAGATAAAACACCCATACACCCTAAAATAAATAAACTTTAGCACATAAAAATGATTGTATTCACAGAAATGTATTACTTATAAGACCAACTTCACAACATTAACTTCTAACCATAATAAGAACAATGGCTACTACTCAAATCTAGCTTTAGGAACCCAAGTGAAAGTAGTAATATCATATAAACCTAGATTGTGAGATTAAATAAATTAATAAGAGCAATGGCAGGTTTGATGAATATAAAACATTAAAACTAGAGACAAATGGTAAAAGCTAAAAGCTCTTACCTCTCAGTATTATTCAACTCTATTTTTTTTTTTTTTTTTTTTTAAGATTCTCTTTAGGTCCTGAGTTCAATTCCCGGCAACCACATGGTGACTCACAACCATCTTGAATGAGATCTGGCATGCAGGCAGAAGACTGTATACATGATAAATAAATAAAATCTTAAAAAAAAAAAAGATTCTCTTTAATTGTGTTATCTATATGTGGCAGTGTATGGGTTTGTGCACATGAGTATAGATGTCCATGGAGGCCAAGGATCTATGGTGTTGGAGGAAGAGGGTGTTGGATCCCCTGAAGTTACAGGTGGGTGTGAGATGCCTAATACAAGTGCTGGGAACTGAACTAAGGTCCCCTAAAAAGTGGTACACATACTTAACAATGGAGGCATTTTTTCAGTCCCTCTGTACTTAAAACTACATTTTGAGATAACCTAGGCCCAAAAGATAACTGCAAAATGAAACCTACATTTTTTAAAATCAGCGTTACTCCATGATATTATTTAAAGAAGGAAAGGGTTTATTTTCTGTGCATAAAGAAAAATTAAACTGGCAGCCAAGTATTTAATGGCCTTCCAATTTAGTTACATTAAAGTTAGAAATCAGGTATTAATTTTAATGATTATTTACTCCCTTTAAAAGTTAGAACTAGCCGGGCGTTGGTGGTGGTGCACGCCTTTAATCCCAGCACTCGGGAGGCAGAGGCAGGCGGATCTCTGTGAGTTCGAGATCAGCCTGGTCTACAAGAGCTAGTTCCAGGACAGCCTCTAAAGCAACAGAAAAACCCGGTCTCGAAAAACCAAAAAAAAAAAAGTTAGAACTAGTGGAGATACCATAATAGAGGAAGACATTTTAGGTTTACAGAGAAATTAGGCAATAGGGAAATGTCTGGAGATCTACAAAGATGACACCAGCTAATAATCTAAGCAACAGAGGAGAGGCTACCTTAAATGCCCTCCCCTGATAACGAGATTGATGACTGCCACCTGATAGCACTCATCCAGCAACTGGTGGAAGTAGAAGCAGACACCCACAACTAATCACTGAACTGAACTGGAATCCAGATGCAGACAAGGACGAGTGAAGAGAAAAGGGGTCCAGACCATGCTGGTGAAACCCACAGAAACAACTGACCTGAACATCGGGGAACTCTTGCTCCCTAGACTGATAGCTGGGATACCAGCATGGGACTGATCCAGACCCCCAGGAACATGGATTTCATTGAGGAAACCTCGGAAATCTACAGGACCTCCTGCAGTAGTTCAGTACTTATCCCTAGCATAGGTGTGGACTTTGGGAGCCCATTCTATATAGAGGAATACTCCCTGAGCCAAGACACACGGGGGTGGGCCTATGCGCTATCCCAAAGGATATGATAGACTCTGATGACACCCTATGGAAGGCCTCACCATCCAGGGGGAGCAGAAAGGATATGTGATTTAGTTGGGGGGGGTAGTAGGGGAGGACAGGAGGGAGAAGGGAACTGGGATTGTCGTATAAAACAATCTTGTTTCTAATTCAAATAAAAAAAAAATCTGAAAGAAAAAAAAAGTTAGAACTAGGCATGATGGCACATGCTTGCAATTCCAGCCCTGTGGAGACAGAGGCCTACACAAGTTCAAGGCCAGCCTAGTCTCCACTGCAAACACCACCAGACCAGCAGGGCTATATAGTAAAACCTGTCGCAAAACACAGAAATAAACAAATTTTTAAAAAGTTAAATCAGAATCAAATGTTTATGAAATCCAATTAGTGCCTTCATAGATTTTAAATTATTTGTCTTTTAAAAATAGTTTAACCTGATTCATATACTAACTATGAAAATTGCCAGGTGGTCATACACAATTTTAAACCCTAGCACTTGGAAAGGGAAGCAGATGCAGGCAGATCTCTGTGAATTCATCTATATAGCTAGTTCTAGGCCAGTCAGGACTATATAGTAAGAGTCTGTCTTTAAAAGGGAAAAAAAATTGTTGTAAGGGATATTAAAAAACAACTAGCTCTTTAAGACAAGCCTATTTTAAAGGAAAGAAAACTCTCATGATCAATTCCTACTCACAATGCTAGAGTTACGAGCCTAAGTAAAAAGTAAGACTATTATAACCATCTATTAGAACATAATGAAAGCCTCTGGGAGAGCAAATCCTCAAAAGTGCTGCTTAAGAGTTCAGGCTTCAAGAAAAAATGAAGATACAGTATGCTTTTTAACAGGCGTGCCTCCTCAATGCCATTGTGCAAGCAACTAGGGTTCAACAGTGAACAAGATAAATATGATTCAAAAATTTAGACTCTATAGATAAATACGATGGTCATCATTTCTCAAAGACTGCTGGCTGTCTTTGTGATTCTGTAAACAGAGACCGAAAGCCCTAAAACTCAGACCAGTTTAGGAGCTGACATAACAGTGGCTACAGTGAGAGAAAACACGCTTCCGTATAGTAGTATGAGAGCTTAATCTTGAAGGATAAACAGTAATAAGCCAAGAGGAGAGGGAAAGAACTGTACAAGACCATATGAAAGACATGCTTAGGAAACATAATCTTCACAGTAAGCCATGAAGGAGCTAAACTGCAAATGAAATTGAAAAGGATATCTTCTAACAAAGAACAGACACTAATCATTAAATAAGAACATTATCTTGCCAACAGTCACAACTGGCTCATAGTACAAATCTAGGTATTTATTTGACAACCAAGCATGATCCAACCTAGCAATCTAAGCTTTAGATAAAGTTTGAACTGACTCTAGCAAGCGGTAGCTACACTACTGTTGCACAGTTACTAAATGGGGAAGGACAGTACCCTCTGGTTGCAACCCTGAAACTGTAATTCTATCAGGAGATAATAAAGCAACTACGAGAATAGACTAGAAACGAGCTTTTATTTCATTAGAGCACTTTTCTACTTGCCAGGTGCACAGTTCTAACCCAGACAGTAACAGCTAATCCACTACAGGTTCCTAACAAGCAGCTCAATATCAGATTAGATTCCACTAGTCCACATACCACACAAAGAAAACAACCAAGCAAAAGCCAGGTAAAGCAAGGCAAGCTGTCAATGACAAGCTCTAGATGGCTTATTACTTTAAAGGAGCTCTCAAGCTTGGGGGGAAGGGGGAAGCGCCTGGGGTGGCAAAGCACTTGATTGCAGCAGTCAGGAGGCACAAGCAGGTAGATCTCTGAGAATTCCAGGATAGTCACAGATATATAGTGAGACCCTGTCTCAAAAGAGCTGGTCCTTAACATATACCACCTAAGCCAGAGTGAGCAGGAGTACTTGCTGTTTAACCCCCCCAAAAAAACCCTCCTGATCAATGAACTATGTGCCAAGAGACATATCTTGTCAATTTAAGAAAATGTCCTACCTTTCCGGGATCATCCTTGGATCGAGGCACTTTAAGGAAACATTTGTTCAGTGACAAATTATGTCGTATGGAATTCTGAAATTAAAGAAGAAAACCATTGTTGGGTCAATGAAGTATTTTAAAAAAATTACTCCATCTTTAAAAACAAAGAAACCTTTGTATTTCTATGAATTGGAATACATTTACAAATAGAGCTAACTTTTAAAATATGCTCCAGGGACTGGAAAGTTGGCTTAGTGGATGAGAGTGCTTACTGCACTTGCAGAAGACCTGAGTTTGATTCTCAGCACCCAAATCAGGCAACTCACAATCCACTGTAACTCCAGCTTCAGAGAATCCTATGCCCTGCTCTGGTCTCTAAGAGCACCCACACACACATACCTATACAGACTTACATACTTACACATAAATTTATAATAAATGTTAAGTAAATGAGCATCAAAGCTAAACTTTTCTGGTTTTCAAATTAGATATAGCATATTGTAAATAAAAGGTTATTGGAACTGATTCCTAGCAGATTTGATAATATATATACATGTATATAGCATTTAATTGCTTATGAACTTTATTGGTGCAGAAAGATGCCTATGATGCAATGCTAAATATTAAATAACAAACTGTATACATATCATGCTTTAACTGTGTGTGCACGATTTATTCTATATGTGAGTGTTTTTACCTGCACATATGTCTGTACACCACATGCAGGCATGCCTGGTGCACACAGAAGCCAGAAGAGGGCATCAGATATCCTGGAACTGGAGTTACAGAAGATGGATTTTGAGCCACCATGTAGGTACTAGGAACTGAACCCAGGTCTTCTCAAAGAACACCAAGTGCTCTTAACCTCTGAGTCATAATTTCAACCCCTTAACCGTGGTTATTTACGTGTTTATTTATTCTTGGAAATAAATCAGAATGCCACATCATAGGCTTTTAGGTGATAACTATGTTCTTTTTACTTTCCTACAAGGTCCAAATGGTTTATGAGGTACATATATTACCACTTTTAAGTGAGTTTCTTAAAGTGTTAAAGACCAGAGATATGCATGCACAAGTCAGATTCACTCTCCAGCACCGTGTGTAAGTAAACTCAGAATCAGAACGTTTTTGGAGAAAACAAACTATCATATGGTAAACACATAGTTCGGAACCTTAAATTACATAAATTAGGCAAATATAGATATCATTTAAATGACAATACTGCAGTTTTCACAAACAGCTACAGCCATCTTGGAATAATGTTTTCTGAAATAGATGTAAATACACCAATTTACCTGTATCTATATGAACTGAGGCCTTTTCTTTCACCTTGAAAAGATATTTTTTAACTAAGCAGCTAATTATTAAAAAATATGTGTAGATCATTTTAAATATAGGTAAAAGAATATCTCTGGTAACTTGTTCTTTTCTTATTGGGAAAGTTACACCAAAAAAAATGACATCTATTTCTTCTTTATTTAACTTATGTATGCATGCATGAGTGTGCATGTGTGGAAGTTGGAGGGCAGCTGTGGTAGTCAGTTCTCTCTTGTCATCAGAGGTCCCAGAGATGGAAGTCAGGCCAACAAGCTTGGTGGTCAAGTGCCTTTACTCACAAAGCCCTTCAGAGTTTTTTTTTTTTCTTTTTTCTTTTTTTTTTTTTTTTAAAGAGGATAGGACTGAGGAAGAGTAACAGAGATGGTGAATATGAAGAGAGTACATATGTATGGACAGAAGCATAATGAAACCCTTTGTTCTGCAATACACTCTGATAAAAATGAAAGAAAAAACAATTCTCTGAAACAAAAATTAATTCTACTGCTCTATTACAAAGGCATATCGAAATGAGGTCCTAGCTGTATCAGAAAAAACTGCATGACAAGACACTGGGTCAGTGGGTTATTAAAACAAGAGGAGGACAAGGACATGGAGGTGAAGGTGGAAGAGGGCCTGGGAGGAGGAGGGAGCTCAGAATGGACAAGATCAGGATATATTAAAATATCAAAAAATAAAACATAGTCAGATATGCTGGGTACAGAAGGCCAGGAAAAGTTCTAAATTCCTCAATGTAGCAGAAAAGAACCACCAACTTAGGTGACAGAAAGACATCTTTAGAGAACTGGAGTGTTTGTGAAACAATCTATTCATGAGTAAAGGGGACTGAACAACGACTCTGAACAGAAAATATCACAAAGCCCCCCTTTTTTCGCAACTAAATGCTCCAAAATCCATTCCCAAATAACTTTTATTTGTTTGTCCTCAAATGGCCAAATACTTAGTAGAGAGGGGCTCCAATTGCATTTAGCCACTACTTAAAATGGTTATCTTTGGAGGTCATATTTGTTAGCGTTAAATTCTATTTAATATAAAATGCTGAAGTCTATTCAGAGTACTTAGCCCTAAATGGGGAATCTATATCATACTCCTTCCTCAAGACTCAGGGATCTATGCAGAAAAGAAGCAAAAAGATTGTAAGAGCCAGAGGTGTTAAATGACTTAAGGAAATGGTGTTTTCCAGCCACAACAGGACAGAAGAAGCACGTATGAACTCAGCATGCAGACCCACAAAAGCCAAAGCCAGACAAAATCCCAACAAGGAGAAGAGGTCAGCACCAAGTCCTTGCTCTGAAGTGAAGGGAAAGTCAGTCTTCTTCAATGGAGTGACACCTGGTATATGGACCACACTCTAAGGCAGACTCCACCACATCCAAGAGTAGTCAGACAACTCAAACTGGCTTTTTAATTAAAGGAATGGGGTAAGGCTGAATGAGTAGGAAGATAGAAGAAGATAGGGATGAATGTGATCAAAATACATCATATCAAATTCTCAAAAAACTTTTTAAAAATTCTTTAGTCTCAGAATAAATACAGTAGAATTTTCCTCTTCAAAATTTATCTATATAGAATATAACATCTCAAAATATTTTCTCAAAAATGTATTATACACATTTTTTTATCAAGAGATATATACAGGGCTGGAGAGATGGCTCAGCAGTTAAGAGCACTGCCTGCTCTTCCAAAGGTCCTGAGTTCAATTCCCAGCAACCACATGGTGGCTCACAACCATCTGTAATGAGATTTGGTGCTCTCTTCTGGCCTACAGGTGTACATGCAGACAGAACACTGTACACATAATAAATAAATAAATAAATAAATAAATAATTTTTAAAAAATTTTTAAGAGGTAAAATAAAACTCTGTTTCAAGAGAAGATTTCTCTGTGTAGCCCTGGCTATCCTGGAACTCACTATGTACACCAGGCTGGCCTCAAACTCACAGAGATCCACCTGCTTCTGCCTCCTGAGTGCTGGGATTAAGGATGTACACAACCACCACCCAGCCATATATGGGTTTTTGTTTTGGTGTGGTTTGGTTTTCCCTTTGTAAGTCTGAGGTGATGGCAACAAAATCTCACCTCCATAGGACTCTGGCAAGGCTTCATCACTTTTGGGGGAAGAATGGAAATGAAGCAGCTCTACTTCTATAGTGACAGGAAATCCTTCTCCAAGAAAAATCTACTGATACTATGGGAAAAACAAATACAAACTCCTTTTCTTCTGGGAGAGGTATAAGCTGCTGCTGCCCTGCATCCTAAAAACTGACACTGACACCATACAGACGGGTCTGCTAAGTCTCAGGAAGGAGCAGACTCCCATCCAAAAGCAACTATAGCTACAAAGCTACTCTGGCTTGAACTAGCAGAACACGGAGTAACAGCAGCAGTCTGGTAACAGAGGAGGACAAAAGATATGAATGATACTCCTGCTTGTAAATAGTCAAGCTATATCTAAACACCTAAAATCTAAGAGGATGAGAAAATTCGGGAGGGGGGATTCTTTAGCATACAACCACTTGCTGAAAAAGTACAACAGGAAAACACTGCTGGAAGAATAAGCAGGTACCACCACCTAAATTCAGCCCATCTACTAAGACTGACTGAGCCTGCCATATGAATAGCTGAGGAAAAGGAAAAGATGCTTGTCCATTTACAAATAAAAACACTACTTCAATCTCTACTGTTCTTCTACATATCTACCTGGTATTCCATCAAAGAGTATATGAGAAAAAGGCAAGAAAGACATCATTATCAAGAGACAAAGTAATCCACACAACCCAGCTAAGAGAGAAATGAAATTTTATAATTGTCAGAACAAATTCTATTTATGGTTAATATGTTAAAGGAGCCAGTGGAAAATGAAATAAAAAAATTCACATTTAGAGATGAAGAACTTTAATAGAGATGTAGAAACCACAATAAACAAACATAAGTGATAAAATAAACAAAAACAAATACCAGGGGGTAAATAGCTCAGTAGAAGAAGCCTTCTAGCATACACTAGGCATGGTTGGGTTTGATCCCCAACAATGCCACCCCCCCAAAAGATAAAAAGAATCCCTCAGATAGGCTTATAAATAAATTGGACATGCTAGAAAAAGGCCTGGGAAACCTGAGGACAGGAAAGTAAATGTTTCCCAACATAACCAACATGTGCTGCAGACTTGAAACAAACAAAAACAATTCTTACAAGACTCCTGAAACAGAGAAAAAAATGGGCAAAATGAAAATTCAAACAAATAAAAAATCTTACAAAACAATATAAGATACCTGCATGTCACAAGAATATCACACAAAATTTGAAAAACAACAACAAAAACTATACTAAGGGCCAAAGGTACAGCTCAGCGGTAAGACTGCTTGTGTGGCATGCATGAGACCTTAGGATAGATTCCCAACACACACACATGCAAGTGCAGACCCACACACGCTCCTACACCCCAGCTGGGCCTGATGGAACAAACCTATAATCTCAGCACTTGTGAAGCAAAGGCAGAAGAATCAGGAGTGCAAGGCCAACCTAGGTTCTAGACTATCTCAGAAAATAAGGTGGGAAAAACTACACAACTATGTATATTATAGTTAAAATGCTGAAAACTGAAACGGAAGACATCTTGAAGGCAATGTAGAGAGAAAAAAAGACTGTGTGAAGAACTAAAGATAAGAATTTCAGTGTGCTTCTTCAAAACTATGTGGGCCAGAAACTAAGTGACATCTTAAATGATTAAAAGAGAAGGCGGTGTCGCACGCCTTTAATC